TTACACTTTACGTGCAATCTAGAAGATCACCGGTGGAGTGTGGAGTACAGAGTCTTGGGAGCGCAGTAATTGTTGGTCATTGCGGGTTTGCGGTGTTGCGGTGTTGCGTTGTGGTTCTTTGCCTTTCTGTGAGTACGACATTGTTGGGCTCTTTAATCTTTGTGTGCAAAATCTACAAAACGCGAACCAGGAAAATTCTCTTAGGATTGATATAAGTCTGTCTTCAGATTATCTAGGTAAGACCAATTTCCCAGTTAGGGGATCGTGCGAGTTTATTTCCCTAAATCTTATTATTGGTCCCCTTGGCAGAATTATGAAGTTATCAATGTGCGACAGAAGCTCGAGTAAAATCAATGGAACACCGACTAACTAATCAAGATTCGATCCTATGGATTATCTAGCATGGATTCAGGTCTCTCCTCTAGTTCGATTCCCTGCTTTCTTGGGGTGTCTGAAGGGCTGGCAAAGCACCAGTAGCCGTCAGGCGTGAACCAGGTGCCTCTTCCAGCATCTCTCGGGAACATTTGGCTAACGGCGAGTTTTCTTGTAAAACCTCAAGAATATCTTGATATCGTCTGAGGCCAGGGCCGGGCACGATCCTCGATTCTATCGGTCTCTTTAGAATCAGCTCCAACCCAATTATACCACACGCCCAATAATCAACGGCTCGATCATGAGCTTTCCCCTCGACCTGCTCGGGTGCTAGGTATTGTTTAGATGTAGTGGTTGCGCAATCGTAGGGAATGGCGGTGGCCTTATATGCGCACCCGAAACCAGTAAGCATCAAATCCGGAGGATCGCAGCTTCTCACTAAGACGTTGTCTGGCTTCACGTCCCTGTGCCAGATGCCATGCTGGTGAAGAAAGCCGATCGCCTCTAGAAGCTGAGCGAAACAAGCGACTCCGCTTTTGCTGATACATTTGGCACATACAATGAGCGAAACGTTGTGTTCGACAGAGGAGATATGAGTATGTGTTCATGCAGAATAATGTCCAAGGTAGGCTTCAAGCATTGATCGAAACAAGATCCGACCCGGGCCTAGGTGCGTAAGATAAGGTATAGCTGGGGGAGATGTGTATTTAGTTTACCGTTCGAGCCTTGGTTTGGCCTAGTCGGTGATGCCACTGGAGAGTGGTTGTCCTGTCCGAATATTGATAACCATGTAGACGATCCTAAAGGCCCCTTTCGAAATTGGATTCTGTACTATCCAATCTCCGAAGTGCATATCATTCTCCGTTGGGATAGGCAATACTAGGGGACTCTGAGCCTTGTACTGTGCACGGAAATGTTTGGTTAATTCGACCTGGAATTGTTCGTCTTCGTCGGCAGATAGGTCTTCATATCGTAAAAAAAAAACACATTCCCCAATCATGATGGTACTCTTGGCCTGAGTTAGGCGTTAGTCAGCCTTGAATATCTCTCCATTCATCATCACCTTCTCTCTCCTCTTGTTGTCAGCGATGAGGAAGAACCCGCCGGCTCCCTTGAGCCAGCTGAAACGAGCGTGAATACCGGCAACCTGATCCTCATCTGAGCCGTAGCCCTTTCCCTTGTCCTCTTCTATGCGCAAGAGAAGGTCCACGCCGCCGTTGCTGAGGTCTTGACGACCACTGCCAATCCTCCATCCAAGATCAACACGCTCAGGCAACGTAGTCAGGGACAGCTCGAAGTATCTTGTTCGCCTGTTGTCGAATACTGTTTCCTTTATAGACTTCTTGTGATGCTCTGAGCCCGAGTCAACTGCTGCATGGATAGCTGAGCATGCGATTCTATTCATGGGTATCAACATTGCGAATCGGCCAACATCAGGCCGGACGGGCTCTGGGGTGTTTGGCTCCGTAGTCGCACCGCTAGAAGTTGGGGAAGGTGGAAGAGACTCCATTGTTGAAATCACTGTCGGTTATCAAGCAGTAGTTTCTTTGACGCAATAGCCATACGGAAATCCGACCAGCAATATATAGACTGGAAATAGCATAGCCGCCGAAATATGCGTTTGAAACATCTTTCCAACAGCTGAAAGGGCGCTATTCGCAACATTACATCTCGTTAAGGGATAAATGTGAATGGCCGTCGTCTATTTATTGCGCTCGAGCATTTTATCATATGATAAGTCAGCGGTTGTTCATGTCACGGACTCTTAATACCTACCGTATATCAACTCCTCTCCAGGGCTTGTTCCAGTCCAAAGATGGATGGACAACCAGATCGACTAGCTGGGTCTCTTGTTGCTGTCAGCTCGCGGCTCGTGCAAAAGCAACAAGAAAGAGCCAGCCCCGATTCTATTTTGAGGCCACTCGAGTTTCAAGGGCCGTGTCAAGAGCCATCTGGCTATCGTGAAACTCGCACTCTTTCCCCTTCAAGCTCCCTTCCAGGGGTTGCTTGTAGGGATTTTGCGGAAATGGTGAGGTAGTATGCTGGTTGTCTAGAGACGTTTGTATGTTGGTCACTTTCCTTGGGATGCTTGTTTGCCTCAGATCTTAACATCAGACCTGTTTCAGGCCCAGTTCGTTCATAAATAGCAGTTCCTCTTCTCCTCCTTTAGTTGCCCAAGACCTTGTATTTTGTTAGCTCTTCTCTTATATCGGTCCCCCTTCTTTCCTTCTTCCCTTATCTTTTTCTGCTTTTCATCTTCTTTCCTATCACCCTTTGTTCTCAGGGGTCCTCTCGTGGTAGTCTCTTGGGCTCTCTCACGTCATACTTCTGAGAAGCTGATGTTCACTGTCTATCAAAATAGCCTAGGTATATATAAGCGTGAGAGTGGTGGAGTTGGTCACATGTGCTGTGACAACCTTGATGTTGTTTATGAACTTCTATATTTGATTTCCTTTTAGGTAAACAGATGAAACCAATTGGCTTACCCAAAATTTGGAAAGCAAAATACAATGGCCTTTGCACGTACAACGTTTGAGACTGATTCCCCAGCAGCAAGTGTCGCCCTCCGTATACGCTATTGCTTGCCTCCCTCGACCAACCCCATATACCTACGTAAATTCATTGATCTCCTCCATGGCTATCTCATAGGACCATCACTTCACGACTTCATTTCACTTCGCTTCGTCATTTCACTTCACTTTCCTTCACTTTATCATCCCATATCTCATTGACACCTCGGGGCTATCATCGAGCTTGCATCGTGTTCCAGCCACTAGGCTCTTGGTTATGACGCTTGGTGGTCACAAGCCTCACACGGTATGAACATTGATGATTGTCCGCTTTAGCTCTGGTAATCGATCTAACTATCGAAAGTCCTTCAGAACTCGATATATTGTCTCACTCTCTTTTCTTTACCAACTGGACCACTCAGTACCACCAATCACCACCCGGCACCACCTCGTACTCCAAAATGATATTGCCGAATGCAGGGCGTAGCCGAGGAAGCTGGAGCCGGGCTCCGACGTATCCGTATTTTGTCCTGAAAGATGAGGTACGTCTGCTTGGGAAAGGTCTCCAACTCGATATGGCGCTGAGCACCCAAAACAGGTCCTTCTCGCGCACAAAGCGTGCACGTATCTGCGGGAAGACATCCACTCGGATTATGGTCTTCCCTGGTACATGTCGCTTAAGGAGACGATTCTAAAGGCGATTGAAGAGCAGTTAGACCAGGCCGATCCCAATATCACGATCTGTCGATCACGGTTGCTTGTGACCTGGCCCGTCCCAGTTGAACTACTATAAGTATGGTATGGCGTTGAAGTTTCGTTCCCTTCTTATAATCTTTTCTTTCTCGTTTCAGTAGGTCGTCAAGAAGCGCTAATAATGTCAAAAGACCGAGCGACAAAACAGCTAACCGGGTTCCATAACTCAGTTGGTTAGAGTGTAGATATTGTACGACCGAGTAGTTACACTAGCGCCGAGTACGTGGCGTGGAAGGACGTCGATATACGATTGCGTCAGCCTGCACAAACGCCCCTCAATGTCAACGATCTTGAATGCGTTACGCAAAGGGCACGAAGCATGACCCATCACACTTCGAGTTGAAAAAGCTCGGGGCGTTGGACAGGATGGAGTGGAATCTGTTGTATACCCCAAAGCTTCTCCTTGTTGTTGCATTTCGCACCGGCCAACTGGCCGAGCCTAATGTGAAATCCGTACTCGATAAAGTGGCGCGCCGCCACAGCCGCAAGGTTTTGTTTCAGTACCCGGAGCGTCGGTTGGTATGGATGGTCGAGCACTATCACGTACAGCTCGACCAGCCAGCAGACATTCACATGCTCAACCGTTTCTTAACGAATGGGCAAGGCAACGGGCGTTGTAGAATCCATCTCAACGCACGACCTTCGGCGTGGGGCGTCCAGAGAGATCGCCCATCTACCCATCGAGAAACTGGTGATGAACAATGACCGTGTGACGGCATCGGTCCTAGGTCATTCTCATTGCGCCATGAATACGGGAGTGACTGAGTCCCATGCCGGCGGAATTCAGGAGGATTTCTGGCGGCTACGAGCGCTGTATCACGTCGAGAGGGATATCTGCGCGCCTACGATTGCTCAACCCCCTTTGTTTCTCCAAAAATCACGTCTGAAGAGCTCACGTCGTACACGTTAGAGAACAGGATGGAAGCCACCTGTACGGCCTGGCGTAGTGTTGCGAGACTCCAGATACACCGCCGATGCTATGAACGTTGGGCCAAAGAGTAGTCTCCTCCCCTTGCGTCGACTAAACAGATGGAAAAAAGTATGCCCAATTACAGGATGTGGAAAGCGCTCCTCCACATATGACGCAGCACGCAATCACATAATGGTTGACAACGCCAAAGTCGAGGGTTAACCACTTCTCTTTTTTCTTACCGTCCTAGCAGGACCCTTTTAAGGTTGATCGCCACTAATCACGATAGAATCATACAGTCGTAGTCGTAGGCGTGGTAGATTTCATATAACCTGTTGTCCTTGGACTATAGCTTTAGTGAATGCTTCTCTCTATGGACAGGTGCTTGTCGATATCAGGCTGTGACGGCATTCATATTGTCTTAGCTGCTAGAGCCTTAGGATAATGCATATCAGTCAGCTCGCAGATACCCTGATACCGTCATTCGCATGGTGCGCGCTTTTCTGTCTTTTCTGCCTTTCCCACGCGGCCAACGCCCACCTCACCATATATTCAGATCTGAGGAGTGGGTCCGGCGTGGGTCGTTCTACAGGTTCAAACGTCATCATAGCTCTGAGGAAGTCCTCCAACGCACGTAGTTCACCACCTGCGACGTCCCATTCGCACGTCTTCTCCGCCTCGCTGCGGCCTATGTTCCAGAGGCGCTGGTGCAGACGCCGGAAGACAGGAGTGCTGATACGGCTGAAGTCAGCGACCCATGACCCATCCTCCTTGAAGAATTCGGGGCGGTTAACCCAAGAGTTCCACCATCTCACGGGCGGTCGTCCCAGTGTGTTGATCATCTCGCCGACAATGTCATCTCGATCCCAGGAAAATGTTTCGAAGACTGGACGCTCGCCCAAGACCTCGTACAAGTTGACACCTAGGGTCCATATATCAGCTGCGGTAGGTTGATTGATGGGTCCATCGAAAAAGTCTTTTGGTGGAGAGTATAGGGCTGGGGTGTAGAGAGTCGGTGAGGGCACATGTGACACAAAAAAGGATGTGCCGTAGTCTGAGATGATGATTTCGGACCTATCCAACTCGTTGGCAGGCATGTTCAAAGCCATGGGAAAGATGGTATGCGGTGGTGCGTGGGGTTCACCAGTCTTCCCATCAAGTCGCCGGATAGGAACCTCGCATGGCTTGCCAAAGCGCTTGTATAACTCAGCTGTGCTTAGGCCATCGAAATTCGGAATGCGTAAGAGAAAGTTGCGCAAATGGAGATCTGCCTGCAATTAGTATGCGGGATCAGTAAACGGAGATACACAGCCTAATTGTCCTTCACCTCCGTGGCATATGCCGTTTGCGTGCAGATAGGACAACCCTAAGAGGATCTGGGCGGCAGTAGATCTAGCAGCGTCCGCTGGAAACATAAAGTTTTCGCTGTCCTTCTTGGACTTAGCAATACTAACGCCAGCAGGCTCTCCGACCAAGCACTGATGATGTCCGTTTGGACCATGAAACGAGAATTGGTCCAACAGCGGCGGAATGAATTGCTTTCCAGCATGGGTAAGGTCGTTCTTCATCAGGTATTGAAGGACTTTTCCCTCGTAACTAACTGGCCATTCTCTCGCAGTCAGTATCTTTGGCGATACGTAGCGCTGGCGCTGCTGATCCCGGCGAACCAAATTGTTAAATTGTTGAATATCCACCAAACCCAAGCTTCTGAATGAACTACAAAAGGTGTCTCCGATGAGAGTTGGGTGGTATCCACCTGGCACATAGTTCTCGAGATATTCAACATCTGGCTCAGGGTGGTATGTATCTTCCATTGGTGGACACGGCGAGTCAGCCATGGCATGAAGGCATCGAAATATGGTGACGGAGAGACTCTGCGGTGACGGCTGGTCTTTGGTGTGAAGGAAATCGGCATGGTAGGATACTCTGATTTCGTCGAAGTATCTCGGGTTGGGAGAATGGGCGAGCGAGTCTCCAGCTAAGACTCATGTTTATGTTTATGTCCTTGCGGAGTGACGCGCCCAGGTGGTACTGAGTGGCGGTGTGGGACTGGGGGAGTCCAGCCCTAAGCTACACTGGGCAGGGGTAAATGATACGAGACCTCATTGCTTCGACCTGGACGTTCCCTACTAAGAAGAGACAGCGGTATTTCGCCAAATGATAACGTTGTTAGATAATTAGACAGCTATCACCTAACTAACTAGACAGTTGTGGTCATTTTTGAGCCGAGTAAATACAACTCTCGGTATGCCAATTTATAGATAATCGTGCTGTACCGCGCGCAGGATTCCTTTGTTTCTTGCCTTCCCCGTGTCATCTTTTTAGATGAAGGTGCCGCTTAATATTATCAAGTCCCTGGAGATCTCCCTCGGTCGAGTTAGACTTCTCCTTCTCAGCCCCATTCCGAGTATAACCGAACCCAAAATCAATTAGGTATACATCGTCGTTGACGTCCATGAGCACATTGCTGCCTTCGCATCTCCCCAAATGATATTATATGATGAAACTGTTTGAGTGTGTGCGAAACCTGATCAACCCATTTATGTCAGAGCTCGGAATATTTGGGCTCACGTCTATCAAAACAATTGAGTGTAGCTCCGCCACAATCGATGTATGATAAAAGCAATCCCATAACATACCCCTTATCATCCTAGACCAGTCCTTGCAGTTGTGATACGAGAATCGGGGGATGGAATTTAGCTGTACGAATCTTCGAATAAGTGAGAATCTCACTTATGGTAATACGCGTCACCGCTGTAGACTATCTTGAAGAAGCTAGGCTGTGGTTGCTTATGAATAAATACCTTTCGAGGTACTCTTAGTAGTGCAGCTGAATCTGCACTAGTTGGAACCTGAACTCCTCTAGGATAGTAGATAGGAAACATCGAGTAGTCGATAGAAGATGGTAAACGGGCCCGATCATATGATGTTTCATGTTCTTGGTGTTGCTGAGATAAACGGGAACTAAGTTGCCTTCCACCACCTGTATAGTGTAGTACAATTCGTCTACAAACAGACAATTCTCGAGAGTGTAATTTCGGTTCGGGTCTAGGGAACCAACTTTGTGGAAGATTAGCAGAAATGGTTGTAAGATCCAATCACGCATTTCTTCAAAGGGGGTCTGCAAACTCCCAAGTCTCCGACTCATCAGGGATCCATTCTGGCTCTTGGCGTCGAACGTGGCAAGATATTCGGCCAGGAGGATAGGCGAGCTTTCGAAGCTTGAAATAAAGAGATCGATTTCAAAGAGTTTGTCGCAGACATAAACATTCAACTGCGTGTCTGCGTTTTTGGTACTTGATATAAATGGACCTATTTCATAGATTGGTTCTTCCGTGTCATTGTTGGCCGTCGAGGAGTTGCGGCAAAGCAAAAAGAGATAGGAGTAAGAAACTGGCAGGTCGGGGGAGAGTAGCAGGGTGTGGTGATCGTGAGCGGTTTGCAGGTTCGGGCGAGAACGCCAAACCCGAAGGGCCCCGCTTGTCCACGTCCACGTCTAGGGACTTAGTGCCTAGATTGGTGCAAGGCATGGTGCTTAGTATAGGGGTGAAATTGATAGATTTGAGGGAATTGATAAAGAAATTCATAGAGAAATTGGTAGGGAAAAGGCATACTAATGGGTGTAAAAAGGGATTACATTATCAGTTTGTCTGATCTAGTCCTATATAGATAAGACGAAAGTGACCTGATTCTGTTAGGGGTTTACATATAAAGTGTAGGTACCTGCTGTCTTACTACTAACTATTGTATAGGGAGTTTGATATAGAGGCGGTGAGGTGAACAGTAGATACAACTACAACGAGCAGGTAATCAGCCTAGTTAGGAAGGCGGTACGTAATTTCAGGTCCACACGCCAAACGGGTGTTTTATTCTCGGCTCTTTTATAAAACCAAATTTTCGGACCGAAACTATTAGTAAGGCGGTTTGGCCGAGTGGTCTAAGGCGATTGACTAGAACTTGCTTGAGATCAGAATCTGAAATCAAGCCCTTTCATTATCAATTCCGTTCGCGGGCGCATGTTCGAATCATGCAGCCGTCGTTGCAATCTTTTTTAGCTTCTTTCTTAGCTTAAGATTTTCACCTGAACGCTCTATCTTGATACTCTACTCCTAGAATCTCTATGAGATTCTATTGTCCTAACTAGACGACCTCGAGTTCCAATTAATTACTATTCAAAGGAGTTCTAAAAAGCGAGAGGGACATAAGTCTACCCTGCCCGCGGGCCTGGCTCTTGATTATATAATATACTGCCAGTCAAAAACCTCCACGGATTCATAATGGAATTTAGTATAGTGTACCACGCCTGATTCTCAATAATAGCTTCTACTCGGCGCGGCATCGTCTCAGAGAGATGCTCTATTCTGGGTTTACGTCGCGTACTGTTTTAGCGTGGTTCTGTACTACGCGTTTAGGTAGGCCGTATAAGTCTCCAGTGGCGCTAAACTGGGGCCGCAATGGAATGTCCATGACAGGCAGGTCCAACTGCACTGCGGCTCTGCCGCCTTCGACCGGCCTGCCTGTCATGGGCATTCCATTGCGGCCCCAGTTTAGCGCCGGTTCTGGTCTCCTGCTCACCGTGCGTGTCCACTAATACTACAACACATAAGTATAAAAGAGACTGTATAATACAATTGTAAGCCTTTATTTTAGTATTTATTTTACATTTTCTGTAGATTCTTTAGGGTGAACGATTTGTATAGCATCTCAACAAAAGCGTTTTCAGTGCATATAGACCATGTAAAACAGGCATTCCACGATGAGAAGATAGGTGTGGCATAGGATTCGAACGTGCCATCTTTCTAGCCAAGAACATTGCCTGCTGGTGAACCTACTAGGTTTTGAAACGCGTTGAACATGACCGCGTACGTCTATTTTTGAATATCAATATACTTCTCCGTATACGGGATTCATCCACCTCAGGCGGCAATGCATGAAGACCAAAAGGGCGGAGATGAGAATAGAGCCCATAGCTAAGTTAAGGCCCTTCCGACTAGCGTCTCTCCAGGGCTGGGCCTGACAGCTGCCAAATGCTTACTCGTGTCTCGTTGGTGGCTGAGGCTGAGCAAGTTAGTCTCCTGCACCTCGTAAAAGCGGGTCAAGGGGAGATGAAAGCGTTAATATGTTCAGCCGTTCAGCACAAAGTCATCGCTAATAGGCGGGTTCGGCATTGCTAAGAAGCAACTAGGAAAAACTACGCTTTAGCCTGTAACAGAAGTGGATATGCCCGAACCCCAGAAGAGTAATGAGAGGTCATTTCCCAGCCTTGTGTTCAGCATTGAGCATAATAAGTACTGGCAAAATGTTCCCAACCGCCGGAATCGCTCACGCCAGTTAATACTATCAGCATGCCTACATCAAATGGTGGTCAAGTTGAATATGGCCCGGCGCTTGTTCAAAACCCCGACCATACTCCCGAGCAGAAAAGTGCCAACGAAACAACATACGCGTCTCCTCCAAGAGGTGAGAATACTCCGGCCGCCTGGGGAGTTGGATGGCAGTGTCCCACCCTGATGGTTGTGTCTGTTGTTTGTGGTGCGATGATCTCGGTGGGCCATCACTTCTACTACCGCAGCCTCGACAACACCCTCGTCAACTCGGTCGACCAGCAAACGTGGGCAATTCGAATTGGAACTGGCTTTGCCTTTTTGAACAAAACGTTCTTGGCGTCCGCTGTTGGGATCGCAGCGGCGCAAGAGATATGGGCCACTCTCCGCCGGAAGTCTGTGAAGCTGAGCGCGATTGATGGCATGTTTGACATCCTTACCAACCCAATTTCTTTTCTCATCCCCGACCTATGGATGTACGCGAAAACCCTTACTCTACTGGCAATTATCTCATGGTGCGTATAAGGTCTTCTTCTAGAGGGGCGATTATTCACAGTCAAAACCAGGCTTATCCCACTAGCGGCTGTTGTTACACCTGCTACCTTATCCATCCGTCTCCTGCCAACCAGCAATATCACCCAGCTGCGTGTTCCGACTGTGAACTTTACTGACTCCTTCTGGCGTCCTTGGGTAACGTGGGAAGGGGCAGGGTCTATTGGGTCGCCCTCACCCGACATCAGCCGGATGTTTACAGCTACTTCCTCATCTGCCGAAATACTCCCAGTCCCTGCACCTTTCCCTAACTCATCCTATACCCTGGAGTTTTGGGGCCCTTCATACAAGTGCCAGAGATTGAGTGAAGCTATCGTGGAGATGCAAGGCATGAATTTTACTGATCACCTGGATATGGATGCTCAGTACAGTTCCTTGCAGAAACTGTGGGAACATGAGATTGGAAACTCAACCAACCTGACTCGCGTGGTGTACTCAGGTGCTGCTCCTAGTGCCCTTAACAACACCCTTTTCGTGTACGCCGCAGGTGCGAACCCCCTATGGAACGACAACGCCACACAGCCGACCGAGCTCGTCTGTCAGCTCTGGAATACCTCCTACGTGGTAGCCCTGAATTTTACCAACGGTATCAGGACTCTGATACCCGTATCAACGGAGCTCGTGGCTCCCGCCAATTGGAGCTCAAATGCTGGCTCGCACATTACAATCCAGAAGCAAGAACCAACAGTTAATGGAGGTTACTACGTGACGAACATGTTATTCTCTGGACTTATACAGCGTACCCTCGTTCTCAGCGCTTCCGGAGAACTGGGAAACTTTTTGCCTTCCGGCCTGCCATTCACCACAATGTCAATAATGCAAACCGGCCTTTTCGCATGCCCAGAGCTGTGGAATAGTAGTTATTACCAAGGTCTGGGTATTGAAGGTGACCGATCAACTGCTTTTTGCCGGAATAAAACGCTAGCCCGAGCACTAGAAGATCTCTCGCACAACTTCACCTACAGCCTCCTCAGTCTCAACGCCGCGAACACCAGTGTACCAGTGATGAGCTCCTCACCCCAGAATTTCTACACGTACGACAGTAGAAATTTGCTTGCGGTTTATATGGCTGCGCTGGGTGTCACTGTTGCATGCGTTGCCATTGGATTCCTTGCGCTGCGCGAGAATGGCGTTTCCCAGAACGTCTCCTTTTCCAGCATGCTGCTGACGACGAGAAATCCCGAGTTGGACCATTTGGCCAACGGAAACTGTCTAGGGTCCTTCGAGTTGGAAAAGGAGATTGGTGAGACCAAATTGCGATTTGGGGAGATTGAGGGCTCTGAGCAGTATAAGCGTGCGGCTTTTGGAACTAAAGGCTCAGTCACTGCTCTATCTAAGGGAAAAGCCTATTACTAGACAGGGGACAGCTCTCCATAATTAATGGCAATAGCATCATTGTTTGCCCAGGTTGGGTTGTCAAAGATTCGTTCTGACACTGTCGATGAGCCAGCGTAAGTCATGTTGGACCCTCTGCATGCTTGTTGGTACTATCCTGTCAGCCTGATACGCACCACTCATGCATTATGATATACCTGCAGCTATACTGGAAGACACGCGCGTTGTCCGTGTCGGCCCTGAAACACAAAACCTGAAGGACGAGATGGAAATCGAAACAGCCATTACATGGTGGAGATTGATCTCGAGTTGCATGTAATTAATTAATTTGACTAAAGTAAAGGGAAAGACCTCATGGCTAAATAAAATGGAATCGGATACCTCCAGGGCTATAATACTCACCTGGTACAATAACCGTTGATCACTAAGCTAAACAGGGCCCCGGGGCCCCCCAGGAGGTGCATGGATGATGGCGCTATGCCATTTCTTTGTCTAGGCAACATCCCATTCGTCATCCTTTGAATGCTTGCCTGTGCATATTTTACACCTAAATATCCCAGAGAACGCTTTTATTTCCATGTTACGATTCTCTTTGTCTCGCACCGTTGTTCCGGTTGAAGTCCAACAGCAATGGCCTCCAGTTCCGTTGCCCCTTGGGCAGGAGACGCCTCCGACAACGCGTTCGGGCCTGTTAGCCACCTGAGGCCATTTGATTTCACTATCAACTTTGAGCAGGCTATATTGTCGATAATTCCTTCGACGATCCTGCTATTGGCTGGACCACCCCGACTGCTCCATCTGTCTCGTTGTGAACGAAAGACGCGCTCCGAACATGGCTGTTTTTTGAAGTTGGTCAGATACATTTTTTATCTAGTCTATTTTCTCTTTCGTGGATTGGACTGCGACTGATCAGCCTATAGGTCGTTGCCTCAATAAATTTCGCCCTTCAACTATCACTCCTGGTGCTATGGAGCGTATCAGTTGCTTCGCAGACGTCGACTAGCATCCCTTCTGCTGCTCTGGGCCTCGCCAATTCTACTATTATCATTGGGCTATCCTATGTCGAGGACATAAAATCCACAAGTCCCTCTTCTCTGTTGACTGTTTATCTGCTTCTCTCGGTTCTATTCGATGCGACGCAGATTCGGACACTATGGCTTACAGATCGAGTCATCATTGCAGCTGTACAGAGTGCAATCCTTGCGACAAAACTCGCTATGCTCATATTGGAGACCCGAGAGAAAACATCTTATCTGAATCCCCCCTACAAAGAGTATCCGCCCGAGGCAACATGTGGAATTGTTAATCTGAGCTTCGTCTGGTGGCTGAACCGACTTTTTCTGACTGGTTGTCGGAAGATCATTGGGAACCAGGACCTTTTTGCTCTTGAGCCTGGCCTTACCTCCGGCAATACAGGCGAAAGGCTGAAAAGAGCGTGGGAGAAGCATGGTCTGGTATCTTCTCCGGAGTTGGATATATCATACGCTGACACGCGCCCAGGTAAAGCAGAGAACAACCTTTCCTTGCCTTGGGCCTTTGCCTGCTGTTTCTGGTGGGAATTCCTCACCGTGGCCTTTCCTCGAGTGTGTATGATTGGGTTCAACTTTGCCCAGCCATTCATGATCACAGCAGTTTTGGTCTACATAGAGGACCCGATCACACCAGAGAGCTGGAACCGTGGATATGGTCTCATCGGAGCCACATTTTTGATTTACATTGGGTTAGCGGTATGATCTGTACCTTCGGACTTTTGCTTTTTGTATTTCTTTCACCGCTAATCAAAACCCTAGTTGTCTAATGTCCACTACAGACATCGGTTCTCCAGAGTCAGCACTTTGTTCCGTGGCACAATGATCTCATTAATCCACGACAGGACCTTGACACTTCAGGACGACCTCTTTGCAGAAAGTGCAGCTCTCACGTTGATGAGTACAGGTGAGTGTGATGTGCGCTTTTGCTTGTCTGAGAACCATCAAAGGGAAAGCCCTTGCTAATTAGCCCCAAAAAGATATTGACGGCATAATTGAGCATCTGGAAAACTTCAATGACGTCTGGGCTCGCACGATTGAAGTGGCAATTGGCATATGGCTACTTGAAAGACAAGTGGGTGCAACTTGCGTGGTTCCATTGATTCTGACTCTAGGTAAGCAAAAAGCCTTGCAAAAAAGTGTGTTGCTTGCATACTTATCTTTTACCAGCATGCCTGGGTGGTCAAAAGCTTGTGGCGAAGACAATCGGAAAGAATCAGCAAAATTGGAACCTCGAAATCCAGAAGAGGATTCAGAATACATCCTCCGTACTGGGTTCTATCAAAGCCACTAAGATTTCAGGACTCTCTGGAAAACTATCCCAGGCCCTCCAGGGGCACCGCGAACGAGAACTCTTTGTATCTCGTGCTTTCTTCAAGGGGATCATGTTGTTAAACGGTCTAGGTCGGACAATTTGTCTTTTTACGTTGTTCCTCTGCTGATCCCAACCAGCAAGTCTGCCTCGGATATGGTCGCCTGTCGTTACCTTCATTATCTACGCTGTACAAGCACAAATTAGGGCCGACGACTCCCTTACTACCGTGAAAGCCTTCACCGCTCTGAGTATCATTACACTCGTCACTACGCCCGCGGAAAGACTGCTCGCTGTCTTACCACAGCTAGCGGCTGCCATGGGATGTTTCCAGCGGATTCACGGATACATGGTACCTGAACCAGTGAAAGATGGCCGAGTTGGCAAGAAAAAGCTTCCACTGTTTCCATCAGACAAGGACGGACCGGAGGTTGCCATTGCCTTGGATAGCGTTACTGTCTTACCTTCGCAGAAGGCTACAAGCACCTCCCTCAATGACGTGTCATTCAAAGTCGCTAGTGGCAGCCTGGTGATTGTTATTGGCCCTGTCGGCTCAGGTAAAACTACATTGCTAAAGACCATCTTAGGGGAGCTTGGTTGTCTCTCAGGTGTCGTGTCTATCAAATCGAGCAGAGTATCTTATTGTAGCCAGAATCCATGGTTGCTCAATACAACAATCAAGAAAAGCATAACTGGTATCTCGGACCACGAGGTCGACGAGAAGTGGTACAAAACTGTCATATATTCATGCTGCTTGGATGAGGACATTCGTCGTTGGCCTGACGGTGATCAAAGTGAGATTGGAAGTAAGGGTCTTGCCCTTTCGGGAGGTCAAAAACAGAGAGTGGTACGAAACAATTCCAGAACGTGTGTTACCTTAACAACTACTAACGCATTTTGTTAGGCACTGGCTCGTTCGGTGTACAGTCGCCACGATATAGCCTTGCTCGACGACGTCATGAGTGCGCTGGATGCGCAAACGCAAGAAATGATCATTCAACGACTTCTCTCTCGTGATGGAATATTTCGTCAGCTGGGCACAACTGTGATTTAGACCACTCATAATTGTATGCTGCCCTTGAGAAATCTTTGTGACTAGTGGGTGCTGACTCGTGATATTCTCCATCGTAGCCCGACTCCTTGGAATCGCAGATAGTGTGGTCTCGCTAGTCTCAGATGGTCGAGTTGACCTTCAAACAATAGGGAGTGAGGCCATTCTCAATACAAATTTCTGGCAGGATAGACAGTATTCGGATGCGCAAATGCAGGATGACCTCAACGACAAACCCAATGCTCATTCAAACAAAATGGCTTCGAACTCTGACCCTATTCGTGAGATCGAGAATATGGATCGAACTCGGCAAATTGGAGATCTATCAGTGTATTATTACTACGCGCGAACAGTCGGTCCAGTTCTTTGCGCCGTCTTCCTTGTTGGACATGTTCTCCTAGCATTCGCCGAGAGCTTCCCACAAGTGTGGTTGAGCAGATGGACTACGGCAGGGGGCGGACAGCTTCCTCTCTATTTATCTGTTTATGCTGTCTTAGCACTGGCAGAATCGCTTCTTACTATTTGGTGCATATGGGTCATCTTCCTTGAACTGATGCCGAAGTCGGCCATTCGTTTGCACTGGTTGCTTTTGGATACGACTATACGGGCGCCGCTGTCTTTCTTTGCCGCCACTGATAATGGTGTGACCCTGAATCGCTTTAGTCAAGATATGATCCTGGTGGACCTGGCCCTTCCTATTGCGTTGATGTCTTCCGCCGAGTCGTTTTTTGGATGTATTGCTACCGTTGGTCTGATCGCTATGGGGTCTCCTTTTATGGCGACAACAATACCGCTCACACTGATCGTGCTCTATTTCTTGCAAAAGATTTATCTGAAGACAAGTCGCCAACTGCGATACCTCGATCTGGAATCTAGAAGCCCGTTGTACTCTCACTTTGCCGAGGTCCTCGAAGGCCTGCCGACAATCCGGGCCTTTGGCTGGCAAGCCGCCTCATCAGAAATTCTAATTCGGCATCTTGATGAGTCCCAAAAGCCATACTATATGCTACTATGCGCACAGAGGTGGTTGAATCTGGTGTTGGACATCGTGGTGATGGCATTAGCAACTGTTGTAGTAACGCTAGCCGTCATGCTGCGTAGCAGCACAGATTCGAGCCTCCTCGGCGTCGCGCTCAACAATATCCTTGGATTCAACCAATTGCTGTCATACTTCATCACATCATGGACGACTCTGGAGACCTCACTCGGAGCGATAGCCCGTGTCAAGTCATTTGTTGAGACAACACCATCGGAAGACCAACCGGGTACATCCGCAGAACTGCCTACATCCTGGCCTGATAGAGGGGAGATTAGCATACAGGGTCTCTCTCTCCGCTATCCGGACGGGACTCTGGCTCTGGATAACATCTCTATGCACATATGCCCCGGCGAAAAGATCGGTGTCTGCGGCCGCACTGGCAGGTACGTTTGTTTCTCACCTAGCTTTCATTTATTTAACCAGGCTGCTGACCAACCCTCCCATATTTCAGCGGGAAAAGCTCCCTCACACTAGCCATGATGCGCCTTGTGGACTTCTCACATGGCAATATCACAATCGATCAGACTGACATTTCCAAGGTCACGCCCGCATCAATCCAAGAGAGGCTGATAGCTGTTCCGCAGGATTCGTTCACACTTTTGGGAACCATCCGCTATAATGCAGACATTATGGGACTCTCCAGTGACAGCGAGATTACATCTTTGCTGAAGCAGATCGGCGTGTGGGCAGCAATCGAAAGCCGCGGGGGCCTGGACGCACTCCTTGAGGACCATCCACTGTCACAAGGAGAGCAGCAACTCTTCTGTCTGGCACGGGCAATTCTTAAAAGACAAGCCAGTAAGGCTGGATGTCAGGTGCTAATTCTGGATGAAGCCACGAGTAGTCTTGATGTCCAAACAGACCGGCGCGTGCAGAGAGTGATGAGAGACGCTTTCCATGACTGTACTGTTTTCAGCGTCGCTCATAGAGTATGTTCCCAGTTCCATCTATCACCTAAGAACAAGCTAATTGTTGAACAGCTTGACACAATCGTAGAGTTTGATCGAATTGCAGTACTGGATGGTGGATTTCTTGTCGAGTTTGATACTCCACGAAATCTTCTTGCTAGAGAGGGTTTATTCAAGCAAATGTACTCTGGTACAGATAAATAAGAGTCTTAGGTCAATATATATCGTGTGTTCTAGTTGCATATGTATTCGTGAATATGCATGCGCCCCTTTCAAAGTGATCTACTACCTCTACACTTCTAGGTAGTCTATCAAAACCCACCATTTGGGTGAATGATCACTTTTGTGTACCCATCCTCCCTTTTGTCAAATTTGTCATAAGCAGTCTCAGCATCTGCAAGTGCAATCTCGTGCGAGATCACGAAGCTGGGCTTTGCTTTGCCAGCAATAATCATATCTCGAAGGTATCGGTTATAGGACTTGACGTTGCACTGTCCAGTACCAAGCGAAAGACCCTACAAAAAGGTTAGGTCTAATGGAACAGTAGTGGAGACATTTTGATACCTTTTCAAATAACTTTCCAAAGCTCAGGCTGATCATTCCGTTCGCGGTGGCAGCGTCAGCTGCACCAGGGTCACTAGTTATAGAACCGTTAGGTAAGTTGTCGTGAACAGAAGATTCTTGCCCATTCACATACCTAGGGACGTATAACCCAGGGATTCCCATCCCACCACAAGCCCGTGTCACTCGAATCATGTTCTCAAGAACGATATTGGCCTTTTCAGCAGAACCATTGGAGTCGACAGCCTGGTATCCAACAGCATCTACCGAGCGATCAACCATATCCCCGTTGTGACTGATTATCTGATCGACGGCATCTCCCTTTGTGAAGTCTATAGGAATAGCGCCAATATTTTTAGCGGCTTCCAGTCGCTCCGCGACGCGATCAACAACGTAAATGTTGGACGCTCCTCGTAGAGCAGCGGAGTACGCGGCCATCAGTCCGACAGGACCAGCACCGAATACTGCAATACTTTCGCCTGCTTGGAATCCGGAAATCTCCACACCGTGCCAGCCTATAGATATCATCAAAATCAGAGAATACGCTTCCAGCTTAAGGGAAGTAGGTTCAATCGTACCAGTTGGGAAGATATCTAACAAGTCCGAGTTAGTAAAGGGGATCGCGAAGAGAGACGAACGTCCAATAATCAAACTCACCAGCTAGAAGAACGAAGTCTGCTTCATGCTCTTTACCTGGGGGCAACTTAAGAGCATTGAAGTCGGCATATGGGACGCGAATGTACTGTGCCTGGCCTGCATTAACTGTTAGAGGTCTTGTATCAACATTTGAATCTTTCTCTGAAATCTTACCTCCGCGGTAGGGACCCATTGCGACGTATCCTAGGATTCGGTTAACCCAAAATAATTGGAACTGGAGCATTAGCTCATACCATAGGCACCGCCAGCAAAGCCAGGGTTGACACCGGTGCAGAATGCAGTTCTCCCCTCCTCACAGTTTCGACACCGACCATCGGCAACGTTGAAGGGCATCACGACACGATCTCCTTTTTTCAACAAGGTAACTCCCTCACCCAATTCCTCCACGATTCCCATGTTCTCGTGACCTGCACTTGGGTTAGCGCTTTGGATGACTGAGGGGTCTTTCAATCGAGAAAGTAATACCGAACGTAATCCCGGGCTCAGCGGCTGTTCTCCCTTCGTACATACTGTTCCCAGTCAGACTCCCAGAAAGAAGTGTTTCGGGGATGTTCGAAGAAAACTTACTGCAAGTCCGAACCGCAAATGGCAGCCTTGATAGCCAATTAGTTTGGTCTTTCATTATCAAGTTATCAGAGTCTTCACTTCACTCACCGTAGTCACCTTTACAATAATATCATCAGGATGTTCCATCCTTGGCTTTTCGACATCTTCAACCCGAACCTTGTAAGGTCCGAGATAGTTCAGCGCTTTCATAGTTGTTGTTGCCATTGTGATTCTGATTCGCCGCGGAGAATTCAATCGTGGGGGGTAGTCGATTGGGGCACTCGGCGGGGGGGTGTTTGAGTATTTGTAGTAAATCGACACAGCAGTAGCTCACGATTCAGCCAATGCATATCAAATGATTCAACGGGAGCTCTACTCATTATTTTGCAATAAACAGTGATATGAGGGGAAGCTACACTATCCCCGCACTGATTTGACGCGGGGAATGCTGCCCTTTCTGGAGTCGCCGACCATGTCATAAGCAGGTCTATGGGGGTCGGAATGCAATGTTCTAGGAGAACCAGCTGATGCCAACACGTTCGATCGGAATTTGTATCACGATCAGCATCATGAATATGTGGGCTAAAACTTCCATCCTGGAACTCATATCACGAGGCGATAATAGTAGCCTCCAGCATAGCTCTTTGTTCAGAAAAGTCTGTGTCTTTAACTTGCACTTATCTTCGTCTCGGTGTACTCAATAGACTTTCAAGATTTGAGCATGAAGGAATCTTGCTTCTTAAATCATTGTCCATTGGAGAGATACGAAATGTATACCGTGCTCCTTCCAGAGAGGAACTCCATCACGCAATCGACTTTTTAATTTTGATCTAACGTTGATCAAATGAAGATCAACACAATCCGCCGCATTGTCTGACATCACTGTACTCCGTACCGAGGGAGGGAATCTCATGCTTAAAATGGCATTTTTCCCCGCAAAGTGACCGATTTGGACCAATCAAGCCTTGGCAGTAAAGACAGTTTGCCGGAAGGAGCCAATCACAGCGTTGGCCCAAATGCCCAACCTTGGAACTATGACGGGGAACCTCACCTATTAGGTGTAGTGGGAACTTCCAATGAGGAGAAGTATACATTGAGCTTTCATGAGAACATAAATGAATTCGTTTCTCCAGTTCAATTGAATTTAATTGAAACTTCTCCAATACACGATTCACCTTCTACCCGACACTATGAAAATCGACCGTTTTCGATCTGTCTGGGGGATTGCTCCTGGTCCGAACATGGACAATTGGGCCCAATGGTTTCCAGAACTAAAGGCTCAAGGTTACAGTATGCTCACGGACCCCCACATTTTGAATACATATTGGGATGTGTTGGACTAATGTTACACTTTTTGGTAGGTGGTGTCGAAGTAGACATTCATCCGCTAAACCCAAGTAGGGACTTTCCACGCCTCAGGGAGCTATGCGACCAGACTGGCTTAGAGATTGGGTTAATGTCAGTGATTGAGCATGTTGACAGTAAAGGAAAAGAGTAACTTGCTGATTTGACTCCAAGGATACACTCGTCTTGGTTTATGTATCTCGGACCCCGCCCGGCTGGCACCAAAGCAGACCACCACTTGCAGAATTATCGAAGCCTGCTCGAATCGGTTCAGCAATTGAAACCATCGACTATAAACTTCCAATCAGGCGAGTAAGTGACAACCGTATGACCTGGTTATTGAGTATCCTATCTGACATTTGGTTAAAGAGATCTTTGGGACGTCGAGGAGTCAATTAAATTCTATAACGGAACTATCCAGATAGACAGCGCGCTTGGAATATCTGGCCGTGTCTACCATGAGACCCACAGAAACCGATCACTCTTCACGCCGTATGCCACACGGCGTATTTTGGAGGCTGTTCCCGAGTAGGAAAACCTTCCCTTTCGCCGACCAGTGCTTGGACAAAGTGCTGATATTACCCTAGGCTTCGGATTACGGCCGATTTCTCCCATTGGATGGTTGGATGTGAAAGAGCCCTGGACGTCAGCGAAGGCGACAAAGTCATGATGGACGCAATTATACCGCATGTAAGGAACACCGAACCACGTTTCAGGTTATATTATTTTTAATACCGGGCTAGGTTTACCATATTCACGCAAGAATCGGAACAACGCAGGCATCACAATGCCCCGAACCTACAAACCCCGTCTTCAGAGAAGAGAAAGAGTGCTTTGAGAGGATTTGGAAAAGTGTTATCCGTTCGCGGGTCAAGGATGGAGCAACCACCAGGATTGTTTTTGTTCCAGAATATGGGTTGGTCCTCTGTACTTTCTTACTACGGGCTCAATGCTTACTTCTCTCAGACCATTCCCCTATCACCCAATCGGAAGTGCCAAAACCCATAGTCAAGTTGCGGATGAAGAGGGTAAACGGCTGCAGGTGCTTTTCAATGACTTCGCTGCAACCTTGAACGATACTTGATCAGACTCTGTCATAATGTAGCTCAATATTTTAGATTAAAAACCAAATTGATACAGCTTGGAATTACTTGATAATGGAAAATGATATTTCCTATCTTGGTTGTGTAGATGCCTACGGCTTGAGGCATATTCATCACACTGGAACGTGGATTCCCATCACTCCGTGCTCGGAGTACCTTCGAGGTGTCGTGTCTATTTATTCGCTTTGATATACTCCGCGATATTTGGCCTCGCCTCGATAGCCTCCTGCAACTTCACAAGCGACTCGGGAAGGTTTGCCTAATATCCAGAATGAGCAGGTATTCTGCATAAGAATAGCAAGCCAAGTCACTTAATAAATCATAGAGATACTCACCGGCAGGGTCCCTGTTCTGCGCTCATTATCGATACTCTGATATACCGCAAAATCCGCGTATGTGATTTTATCGCCGAGCAGATACGGCCCCGGGTGATCAGTGTAGTACTGTCCGATCACGCTGTAATACTTGGGCGCAACCTTGTTCTTGTATTCATCTGTTGCGCCGCTTAGGCTGGCAGCCCATTGGGACTGTCGTGTTGTTTATTAGGTTGCAAGATCGCAAAGGGATGAGGTAACCGAATAGACAAACGGGCAGCTTACCCTCCAATCAACATAAAGATCAGCGACAGCATCCACAATATACTTCTCCTGGTTCGTCTCGCCGTCGTACGCGCCCAGTTCGCGGGCGAAGTAGCGTAGTGTCGGGATGTGCTGGATACACCTTGTCAGCTAGGCATTTATAGGTATATGAGGGGAAGCCGATTGAACAAACCTGCGTATAGACAGAACCCTTGTACTCGAGTGCGGGGAGCTGCCCGGTCCGCGTGATGCCCTGCTGGGTCAGTTTTTCGCTCGCGGCAGACCAGGTCTCGTCCCAGGGGTAGAGGATGTCTTTTTTGTCGATGCCGGCGTCCTTGAGGAAGAGGCTTTTTGGGTTAGTTATTTAATGGCTTGCGCATTGTGTCTTGACAGTGAGGGGTAGGTGGAAGCGCACTTGAGGACCTCGCCGCGGCCGAGGCGCCCGAGGGTGAGGTAGTGGTAGACTGGCTGGGACATGGTTGGAAGTTAACTAATAGCGGTAGCAGTGATTATTTCCGAGAGGTTGAGTTGTGTTGTTCTTGAAGAGTGTACGTCCGCGCGGGGTAGCTCTGCTCCGCTGCTTCATGCTTAGAAATCATGTATTATGTGAATGGTGTGTTATGCACCAAGGTCCCTGATTGGCCTCGATGTCTCATGGTTGTCGCCGAACAAAGGCCATATCAGAGGTACGTGGCACTCTCTCTGCACAACAATCAAAGTTGTATTTGGGTTCAATTTCTGCATGCAACCAGTCAAGTCAATATATCATTCAGAAAAGGACTATGGATCTAACTAACGCTAAACTTCTTCAAGCCTCGATCAGGTCCAAATAGCAAGCCTGGTTTACTGTTGCTTGCCTTGGTTGACCACCTGATCTTACAAATAGGCTGTAAGAAAATGACGTCAAGAGGACACTCAGTCTAGGCCCGGCCCCGGTGGGCTCTCACCTGCTGAGTCAACCTCTACTTCCAGTGGACCCGACTGCGCCCCAGGCCTGAGGTTGCATTTGTCAGCCCCTCTAGCTGCCCAGGTGCCCAGTTGAGGTCTTCTCTCAGCTCTCCCATATGAGTCCCTGCACGACCGTATATAATTGAACAATGATTTAAACTACCGTCCACCGTAGTATCTATACTCTACACGAATAAAAATAAAGCAGATAATCCGGGACTCCCCTCTTCCTCTCAACATCAGCGCCATTACTACGCAACCCACCTCAAACGTGGGAATACCGGCTACCTACTAAGTACTCTACTACCAGTAGTGTGCTCAATGCCAGGCTTTCCTAACCCAACGCCAACACCAATCCCAGGAATAAAAGGCTGGCACCCCGGTGAAACCGCCATCCAAACCAAGCTCGGCTTCTCGACCGCTGTCTCCTCAAAATGGACCGCCGTCGAGCCCCAGCTCCGGGAGCAGCACCGAATCTTCCACACTTCTAACCTCTCTTTCATTCCAATGACCGTTATTGATAAGGACGGCCGGCCGTGGGCAGGGATCGCGGCTGGGCGGGACGGGAGGGTTGGATTTGTACGCGGGCCGGATTTGAAGACGCTGGTCTTTGGGGTCAGGGTCTGGAAGGGGGAGCCGTTGGGGTGTGTGCTTAGGGACTTGACTAGTAGCACTACTAACTCGGGGAATGGGGTTGAGATGGAGAAGCGGGAGAGAGCGTTGACGGCGGGACTGGGAATCGAGTTTAGTACGCGGCGGAGGAATAAGTTTGCGGGGATTATTAGGGATGTGGTTCCTAACTCTGACGAGGCTGGAGGGAAGGAGGGGCTGGATTATGTGCTTGAGGTGGATGTTAATGAGGCTGTAGGGTGAGTACTAGTATTTTCTATCAAGCTATCTGGTCCAGAGTCTGATATTGACGGAAAAATTAGGAACTGCCCCAAGTACATCAACACCCGCCACCTCGATCCACACCCGCGAACAAACCCCCAGCTCGCATATCAAGTCCAGCTTATGGCCCCTGGCGAGCGCCTCCCCGACGACGTAGTCCAAATGATCACCACCGCTGATACGGTCTTCATCGGCTCAATTTACAAATCCACCCCTGCCACTGCCACAGAATTCCCGTCGCACGCCGGAATGAATGCGCGCGGGGGGCTCCCAGGCTTTATACGCGTGCGACCAAGCGACGGCCGCAGTGTCGTTATCCCAGACTACTCAGGGAATCGATTCATGTCGAGTCTAGGAAATATTGAGGCTAGTGGGCTAGCGGGCTTTACGATCGTTTCGTTCACGACGGGCGATGTTCTCTACCTCACTGGAAGAGCGAAGGTCCTTATTGGGCCCCCAGCGATGGAGATCATGAGTCGGCATGCTAGTATCACTGTTCTAGAGACCACAGGATATACGCTTGTCCGAGACGCACTTCCCGTCCGGCAACGGCCGGGGTCGGACGTTGGAAGGAGTCCGTATAGTCCGAAGGTGAAGTACCTGGTTGAAGAGGCTGAGGCGCAGTCAGGGTCTTCCAACAACCATAAGGCAGAGCTTGAGAGCGCAGTGCAGCTCTCGGACGACCTTGCCGTCTTCAAGTTCAAGGTCTTGTCCAAAGACAGTGGCAGTCCGTTGAGAATCCGACCTGGACAGGCTATCGTGTTGGACTTCATGGACTGGCTGGGTCCGCCTGAGTACCAGCATATGGCAGGCTCTGCACCGGGCTCAATCAACGATGACCGTGTCCGGACCTGGACTGTTTCGAGTGCGCACGAAAATCAAAACACGACGTGCTTTGAGCTGACGATGCGAGAGATGAAGGGTGGTGCGGTGACGGGTGCTTTGTTTGATATTTTAAGGAGAAAACCAGCTAGCGCTTGGGGAAGGCCAATTCCAATCAGCGACGCCGTTATATCGGATATTGTCGGTGTATCCGGGGACTTCTGTCTGACGGATGATAAAATCAACGTACTGTGGGTGGCCGGCGGCATTGGGATAACTCCTTTCTTAGCTATGCTGGATGCGTTGGCTGCCCGTGGACGGGGACATAGTGGGGATATTCAGTTTGCGCTCGCGACGAGAGAACCTGCTATAATGCTTGATTTAATGGGGAGATCTCTAAAGAACATTCCGACGACGATCCGAATCAACATTGATATATTCACGCGCTGTCAAATACACCTCGACACCGAAGAATTCAATACGGAGAGCACACGGATATCAATACACGAAGGCCGGATCGGGCCAGGGTACTGGAAGACTGTGTCGATGGATAAAGACGTCTTAATCTGTGGGCCAGACGGGTTTGGGAACTCAGCCGTGGAGAACCTGAGAGCTGTTGGCGTGCCGAATGAGAAAATTCATAGAGAAGGGTTTTATTAATGAGCAAGCGGTATCAGTTTCGATACCTAATAGCCCATCGTCTCATATGGATAACTAACTACATAGGTTAGTCACGAGATCCATCCTCCGACCACTCAGTCATGTAGGTAAAGCACGAATGGCTTTCCAAGGTTGACTCTGAAGAACACCGAATAAGTTAGTGACGATAAAATAATACAGCACTAAATATTTCGACTATGAAGCCTATTTCTAAGGCAAATTAAAGCTAAAGATATCTCGCGAGCCACAATTTAGAGTATAGGATACACCCTAGAAATTCCATCTTAATATAAAGCTAATAGAACTAACTAGCCCTAATAGAGAACTATTAGCTACTAATAATCAACGACGCCACTCGCTTAGTAGAAGGACCTATACTAAAAAGTAAGGGAGATAAATATCATCTACCCCCTCCGCGTAATGGCAACCCCCACCCGGAAATGCTTCAAAAACCTCCCCCAAACAACCCTTTCTTCAACCTCCCCAACAGCAATAGGCCACAAAACCCTCGCAGCACCATCGCCAAACCCAATCGGACACCCCTCCACAGTCCGGCACTCGGGCGCAGCACTCATATAGCCCGGATCAACAGAGTTCATGGCAACGCGCCGTCCCTTCCATGCAGCGTGTGCTTCTGTCTCTGTTATCATGTTGATCGCTGCTTTAGACATATTCGTGTGTACGTGGTGGCCGGCTTTGCTGCTTGATTGGGGCGTATCTTCTAGTATTCCTTCGCGGGATGAGACGTTTATTATGTACCCTGCTGCTGTGGATGGGGAGGAGGAGGAGGAGGAGGAGCCTGGAGTACCCATCACTGGGAGGAGTTCGCGGCAGAGGATTAGAGGCACGAAGGCGTTGACAGAGTGGGCGCTTATTAGATCCGAGTATGGGATTTCGTGGAGTGATTGGACCCAGGATGATTTTGAGGGTTCTTCATCTTCATTGTCGGTTGGTATCCGGGGGCCTTTCGTGGCTATTTGGTTTTTGGTTTCGGTGTTGCTTGCCTCTTCAATTTGAGACTGGGATTTGTTCGTAATGCGTGGGATCCAGGTTGCTTGCTGTCCTCCTCTTACGCGGGGTGTGTATCTGTCGTTCTCAGATTCTGCGAGTAGGGCCACAGCCTGTGGGTGGTTTTTTAGATATTTCTCTCTGGAAATGGCTTTCACCTCCCCTTTGACTGGATCAGTAAGGGTTTGCGCAGCGTTGTTGATAAGTATATCCAGAGATTGTGGTGTGTCAGGTGGAGTCTCGCCATCCCAAACAGAGAGCAATTGTTTGACAATATGTACTAGCCGGAAAGCATCATTTGCTGTTCTGAAGTCTGCGCCGACTACTTTCAGTCGTTTCTCCCATTGAGCGAAGTCTGGCTCGGTGGAATATCGAACTGCAGCATCTGCTGGATACCGAGAGGATACGATGACTTTGGCTCCACAGCGGAGGAGTCTCAACGCAGTGAAGTAACCCAGGTTTATTCTCCCGCCAGTAACGAGCGCAATTTTAGCAGTGAGGTTTAGCTTCTCTGGTAGGGAGAGAGCTGAGCAGCCAATATTAAACATGCCGCATTGGCGACATAGTGCTGGGTATAGTTCATGAGAATCAGTGGGCGTGAAGCGGTACCGACAGATGTAACATCTCTTCTTCACATATGATGTTCTAGGTGCGTCATTCCCCTGAAATTGTTCGTGTTGTGTGTATCGAGCATTGTCGTCCATGGAGAGTTGCGCTCGTACGGCTAGAATAACCTCAGATAGAGGGTCTGTTGGAGGAACCACTTTGTGCTTTTGAAGATAGTCTAGCACCTTGACTGTTGTTTCCAACTCGCCTGGTGTCGGGACATGCATACTATCCATGGACGTATGTTCCTCAGATTTGGTCATCGCTTCCAATTGGCCTAGGTAGGCTTTGATGCCTTTGATAATGCTGTTGCACCTAGTCGACCGCAATGCTTTCGAGACTTCGCTGTTTGGGGTGAGATGCCAGGCTATTTCATCAAAGATATCATCTGTAACAGAAGATAGTTGGATTGCTAGGTTGCTAGGCACTTTTCCCTCTCTGCAGGCTTGTTGGTCTTGTCGCAGGCGCTGTGCGATTGTGTCCGCGTCTGGCAGGTGTAATCCCGGGGACTCTTCCCTCATCTTGTTGCTTGACGATTCTTTTTCGGGGACAAAATGTCGAACAGAATAGAAGGACATAGATGGATATGTACATATGTAGGTACCTAGATATCTAAGACGCTTAACTAAGGTGACTCAACGGAAATGACTCAGCCTGTTTGTGTCTTTGGCCCCCACGAAGTAGCTTTATCGCGTGAGGCTCCGCAATATCCCTTTACACTCTTTTCTATATCTTTCCTTCGATTAAATTCCTTAAAACACGACAGACGCGACAAAATGGGCAACCAAAAAACACCACCCAGTTCCATAGTCTGCAATATCGCGGCTATGCCGACCGAACTCGCTCATCAAATCATCGATGACCTGCGGGTATGGGACATCCTCAAGCTGCTATGCTACGATAATGATCGAGTAGACGCGTGCATCATGTCCCATCCAATCTGTCGCAACATGTTGGGTGCCGACCCAAAGACTTTCGCAAAGTGGAAATTCGCTGCCCACCTCTATAAAGATATATTCACGGCAGTGGGAAAAGCATCTGTACCAGAAAACTGGGCTGGAACAGACTATCTTGGCGCAAATATCCACTGTGTCAAGCCTCAGAACTACGGAGAGATCTTGAACCGTATGAAGGACCGCATCGATGGCGAGCTCAATATCCATTGGTGCAAAACAGACCTGACTCGGTTCGGTGCTCCTAATTACTCCAACCGATTTGGATATCTCAAGAGAGACTATTCTTTCGAAGAGCTGAGGACATGCTGGCATGACATACAGAAAGCAAAGGCCAATTTATTCCAGTTGAGGGCCTCGGAGCTTCGCTGGACTGCTGATATGTTGGAAACAAATCCGGATATCCTAAAACGCACACTGGACCCGGCACAGGAATTTCGGCCAAATACTGCACACATAGTGTCGAGATTGCGGCATACCGCCGATGCCATCATACGAACCCCGGCCAAAAAATTCATCTTCTCAGAACACTTTAGTTATGACTTCTTGGCGATTATTCCGTTCGACTCGGCCTTGGACCAACTGTTGCATATGATGCAAAAACATGGTATCATAGAAGGTGATCAGGTTGCGGCGAGCAAAACGATCGTTTTAGCTGGTGCCGCTTCGCACCCATCTTCTATCATCAATTCTGTTCGAATTGTTATTGATGGAATGCCGAAATTCTATATCTCACCCCCGGAGGCGGCAGAGCAAAAAGCCGAATTTGCGTGGAGGAATGCAGCCAACAAAGATGGCGATCTTCTTCGAACGGCGAATACTCCGTGGTCTGAACCATGTGATGCAAATGAACGAGTTTCTTTAGAGGGACCCTATTTTACACCGTTCAAATATGGTGGTAACAAAAGTTACTGGCGGCCACCAGCCCTTCATTTAGATCTTCATCATGAGATGGAGAAAGAATGGCTCGTCAGTTTTGTCGAGGTCTATCGGTACTTGAAAAACTTGGATGGGTAGACTTCGTTCTTGATGGGGGCTGTTTTAGTACCTGTTAGCCTTTAACTAGGTCAGTAGAGTGCAAATATTGGCATGAAATCTTACAGTAGAACAGCGTTGAAGTCTATTTAATATTGCTTCGGGCATGGCTATCGAGCTACGGTAGTCTTGCGTCGAGCAAAACTGTTAATAGATAACCTAAGACATATACGGTGTCAGGCCCGTTACAGGTACCTCTATGTAGATGATTTTGGCTCCCAGTGAATCTTTGCAGAGATAATACTAGTAAATTTTCACAAGGTGACCTCTCACTGTCCAATTAGCTGCCACTCCTCCTTGAGAATCCCCAAATGCACTTCGTCCCACCATTTATCGTCCTTAAACAAGCACTCTCTTCTCTTTCCCTCCTCAAAGAAGCCAAGACTCTTATAAATCTTCTGTATGCCAGTGTTCCAACCAAACACATTGCACTCCACCCGGTGCAGATTAGCATTTCTAAATGCCCAGTTAAGCATCCATCTAATTGCCTCAAGACCATATTGGCTTTCACATTCCTTCTTTATTTCGATACCGCATTCTGAGCAACGGTGATCAGCCATATCTGGACTTGCAGACTTCAGTGCTGATACGCTCAAATTGCACTGGATTGACTGAATCATCGGTGGTTCTGTACATAACAACAAACAATAGCGAGTTCTCAATGAGGTGCTTTCTGATATCCTTGTTGAATCGGCGGTCCACGGGTCATGCAAGTGATGCACATGAGTTTGTGAAGGCAACGGGATCACTCTGGATGGCATGGAAGAAGTCGTCATCCTCAGGAGGGTTGAAACGATGGTATTGCAGACTCACGGAGCGAAATACAGTCATGATGCTGGATGCGGTGATGGTGTAATGGCCAAGAGAGGATAGAGGGATGAGAGACAAATATATGAGAAGGGTCTAGTGGGACTATTAAATATTAGGAACTAAGGTAAAATAAACGTATTCGGTGCGCGAGCTGCGCAGCCCAGAACATATAGTAAAAACGATACTGTATTTCAACAACCAACATTTTTTTTTAATTTCATTACTTGTTATAGCAATTGATAAGCATTTTTAGTATTGTATAGTTATCAATTTCAAATAAATCGAAAACTTGCATTGTTATGGTATCGAAAAATACATCGTTGGACTCTAGAAATAAGGTATATATCTCAGTCACTAATCTATCAAATTTTCCTAAACTCTAGCAGTGATTAGATATCATATGAAAAGCATTAGACTATAAGGAAAAGTTTATATAGACAACCGTTGCTGCAATATCACGCCGTAATTTATCGCTTCTACTATGGGTTCTGGGCTGCGCACCTCGCTTGCGTGCGCAGCTCGCTTACCGAATATTAATACTATAACCGTATAGGTGGTAGATTGAATAGTAAAACGAGTATAATTCGTTAAGATACGCTATTTAACCTACTATAGGCTTATAAAGTAGTGCTAAGAACCAAGCAAGTGCTGCCTTATGTGGCCACTATATAAGAAAGTAAATGTATAAATGACGGGACAGAACAGGTCCACGGGTCCTCCGGCTGACATAAGTGTACACTCGCACCTGGGCAGGTGCGCACGAGCGCGAGTGCGCCACAGATTCATACTATGTAGTCCTACGAAATGACTTGTATCCTGTTACCGTTCAATACCGTGGTAAAATCATAATTGTTTTTTGGAGCCAACTATAAGCTTCAAACCCTTGCTCTAGCTAGTTCTAGTTTCCATGTAGTTTTCAAGACAAACACGATCGTCACCAAACTGAAAAGCAGAGAAGTCAGAATAGTATACGAAATAAGAACCAAAGAAAAAACCGCCAAACCAGACGCAGCCACGGCAAATGGGCCCTCTTTTCCAAGCTTGGCAGTTGCCAGGCCGACCTGCATTGCAGCCAGTAGGATAGGTAGCCAAGAGGAAATGAGTTTGACTGGGTTGCATGGAAGCTTCTTATGCAAACAAGTGGCCACTGAGGAGCTAATCACCCTGTGCTGTCTGAGATAATTACTCAGTGAGCAGGAACCTGAGCGCTCTCATAAAGCGGCGGGACCCCGATCGCGAAATTCGCATCCGCGGCCTAAAATCCGGTACATACTGCTACATATGTAGGCTTCTAGCCAAGTCCGGAAAAACAGATAGATTAATCGTTCGACATTGCCAGTTGGATTCCGAAGCTTAACCAGACCCATGCAAAGTTCACTCCAGACAGGTCTGCTTTGGAGCAAGCATTAGTGCAGAATCCCGTCGATCAGGGGGGTCAGTGTCTATAGTTGTGGACTTGGCGGGATCAGTCCAGGTCCACGGGCGGTGCCCCGCGTTACGTCATCGAACCGAGAGCCCTCCAGTGAGGGAGCGAGGGCCTGGTCTATTTTCTATTTTTATGCGCCTAATCCTACTAGTAGGGGTTTGTCGTTTGGTTGGGACTTCCGCAAATGCAATTGGCCTCTTTTTCTCAGTTCAACGTACGAGGCAACTATCTGAGCAAAGTGCCCAAACTCGGTTCTATTTTAAGAGGAGCCATCGGAAGATCTACTGCAACCCGAATCACATCACATCGTATTCAGGAGCGGCTACAGCTTTGGTAAAGCTTAGCGAGCGTTGAGCCAAAGTATAAAGACAACCATAAAGTCCGGTATGGACTAAATTTACAGAAGAACCCCATTGCGACCATCCTTTCAGCAATAGTCGGCCAAATTAGCAGAATATCTTGCCATCCGGTTAACGTCCCTTCCAATGCCCTCTAACAAAGACCGGATATATGTTGCTCTCCATGCACGAGGAGGCAAGCCAACCATGCCAGACAAGGAAGACACGTGAGATCACCATGCATGATGTTGTTTAGCTTAAAGCAACCAGCAAGATTAATATGTATATCTTGACTAGGTACCATTGGTCCCTGATTGTAGGGCCCAAAATTGAGACAGAGAATAGCACTGGTTTCCGCTACCACGCGAACGAGAGTCCAAAGCTGGGAGGGGGCTCTGTGTGGCACTTTGAAGAGCTCGAGTGTCCACTTGCCGCTACTGGCATGTTACTTGTTCGTATCATGGTTGGGAAGGTATTGGATGGATATCATGTAGCCGAGATCATGCGCAATACGCCTGTCCGACAGGGTCGGCCAGGATGGAATTGTGTTGCGTGGGTAAAGGAGGCTTTGGAAACTCTCAAGGACGATAACAAGGCTTTAGGCACGAGCATGCTTGAGTGGAGCATAGTGCGCAATATAGCAATGGCTTACTGCCAACGGAAGAAAGATCAGCACCGTTTCGATGGTCAGGGAAATTTTGATATGAGAAAGCCTCCAACTTATGACTTGTTGGAGCAAAAGGAGACTGTCGCTTGAGTTATCGAGGCAGATTAAGTCCAATATAACAGAAGCGCAATTCACGCGGCCGCTCCATTAAGTGGTGTTGCTTTATAAGGAAGAGGTGGTTTCTGCTATATGCCCATGCCATAAGAATAACATATAATACGCTCCGTACAACGCTTTATATTATACTACAGCATGTATAAATTTACATGTGACAGCTTGAAGTACAATGTACCATCGTTTTCTTATTTCCACCAATTATATAGGTAGCCACTTCTAACTGTAGCTGTGATAGTAAATAGTCCAAAATAGGAAGTCAACAATCATCGTGACGTCAATGTAATGGAAACGGTCCAAAAAGCTTGCCTCGCGGTTTATATTATTTAAGTCCTAATGACAGTTTGTGTCGTTTGAAGACTCTATTAGCAAACGCTCATCACCAATTGGCGAATACAACCTTCGAACTCAACGCATATACGGCAAAATGTCGAACTCCGGAAAGAGCTGCTGCGGCGATGGGAATGAACTCCCAGGCGATCCACGGACAATGAAAAGTCGAGTCCTCGAGAGTGGAGCTTCGATGATCCAGGACTTCACGCCAGTAAAACAAATCTGCGCCCATCTCAATGCATTCCACTTCTACGCCAATGATCCAACGCGATGCGTCGAGGCTAATCACTATTGCACTCATTTAACAGAGGGTATGTAACAGCATGTTTATCAACAAAAACAACCGAATGAGCATGTACTAGACGTTAACACCTCATCCAGATATGCGCCAATGTCTGATCTACGACTCGTCAAAGGCAAACGCCCGCCTCATTGGCGTGGAATACATGGTCTCCCCGCGCATTTTCGCAACGCTTCCCACCGAAGAGCGTAAGCTCTGGCACACGCACGAGTTCGAGGTCAAGAGTGGTATGCTGATCATGCCAACACCGGCTGGTGTGCCCGATGCTTTATGGGAAGCTGCGGAGACGGCAGAGATGCGGGATGTCGTGCCTATCTATGGCAAGACGTATCATTTCTGGCAGGTTGATCGTGGAGACCCTGTGCCTCTAGGTCCGCCGCAGTTGATGGGCAGCTTTGTATCCAATGAGAGCGTGAAGTTGGCACATCCTGCGGGGTTAGATTCGTTGCTCGAGGATCGGAACAAGAGGTATGGGGTGGATCATCGGCAGAAGGCGAAGAAGAGGGAGGGTATTGAGGCGATTGTGAAGCATCCTGGTAGGTATTATGCTTGTTGATTTGCTTTGCTTGGACTTGGACTGACATGGTTGTTAGATGCTGATCAGTGGTGCAGCAAGTCCCCTTGATTGACGCATGGAGAAATCACATCGATATTGTCTATAGGCTACAAAAGAAATTGAGAGAGCATGAGAAATGGAAATGATAATAGATCGTCTAATTGAGATGTCTCCCCACCACGCATGCCTCAAGAACCCAGTCCCATAATGAAATGGGGTCAAAGTGAGGCATACTGGGGGATCAACCTATCAGATAGGCTGGTTGTGTTCATCTTGCTTCATTGTCCACACGTGCTCGTCCTGGTTATGTATTTCGGCGACGGCAAGCTCTAGCATTTGGAGAAGCGAACATCCCGAAAGGGATTGGGGGTAGGGGCAAGGGGTATTGGGAGTAGTATATGTAATATATCGACTGTTGAGCATCTCCAGTGTTGTAGGGATGCTCAGAATGATTTGAGTCATGAATTAAAATCCAGGTCTTTCTCAGCCAAGCACCCACGAGAAATTAATGGGCACCTGCTATAGCTGGAAGGCTCCTGGATATCGAACTTCAATGCGACGGCGACATTATAGCCTCGCGTCGCTGGTCACAGTACACATTGACTGATGATGGGAGAGAGAAAAAAGCGGAGCAAAAAAAATCGTACTTTAAAGGCTCCATATAGTCACATGACCGTTACGGACTAACCGCGGAACAGTTGATACAGCTCGATCTGAGAGATACCATGCTTCCAATTCACCACAGATGGAGCACTTAGTCCGGTCTGTACTAAAGGCTGCCAATATTCGTACCATTGGCCGGCTCGCGCTCAATGGCACCAGCACATTCTGCGCCTGCGCGCTGATCTGGGAGCATCTGATAACCGTCCAGCTCAGCGAGGGCCCGTCGATGTACCCTACCTTCGACGTGCGAGGTGACTGGCTTTTGATATCGCGCGTCCACCGCAACGGCAAAGGAATCGAGGTCGGAGATGTCGTGCGATATGGTCATCCGAACTTTCAAGGCGTGCATGTGGCCAAGCGGGTAGTGGGCATGCCTGGGGATTTTGTCTGTCAAGATAAGCCGCTTAGTACGGATATTGGCAAGGAGGGGAATATGATTCAGGTAGGTTATATGTCTTGCTTCCGGTTGGATTCAATTGCTGACTCGTGGTGTTTGTGCAGATTCCCGAAGGTCATGTCTTTCTCGCCGGCGACAATCTTCCCTGGTCTAGGGATTCGAGGAATTACGGTCCAGTGCCCATGGGTCTCATTAATGGGAAGATAATTGCCAGAGTATGGCCTCTGTCGAAGATGGAGTGGGTGACCAATCCGCTGAAACCGGCACAACTGGATGCCCAGAACATTTGAGGACTATACAGTGTGTACTATACCAGAGAGGTGGATTGCAGTTTGCCGATGCGTGGCACCCGGGTCCATTTTGTTTAAGCATACGCATGGAGTTTGGTTGGAAGGGATTAAATCAGTGTGCATATTCATACATATATCAAATTGTACAATACAAAGGCTTGAAGACAAACAAGATCAGCGGAACGAAGAGGGGTTACGTCTCTTATATGGCAGAGGCTCGACTCTCTTGCGGCGCAGCTCCACATTGGCGCCGTCGAATCCAATCTCCTTCATGACTTCCAGGGTCGTGTCGTCCCATTGGGTACGGAACAGGTGAGCACCGATGGCCTTGAGGTGGTAACGGGACTGGAGAGTGCGAAGGAGGGTGGTGTCACGGCTAGTCTCCTTAGCCTTGACGGCGGCAAAGTCGAGAGGCTGGGAATCCTTCTGCTCCATGATGAAGAGAGAGAGACGGTGGTAGGGACTTCCCATCTGGGCAACAGGTGGCAGCCACGGGAAAACCACCTGGGAATCTTCCAAAAGCTGCGCGAGATCGACCTTGGTGGAGGTGGCCGAGATGGGGACGTTGACGGCCAGGAAGTGTGTCTTATAATCGAAGTTGTCCTTTTCAACGTTCGGGACATCAGGGTCGACAACTGCAATGGTGACCAGCTTCTGACCACCCTCAAACATTTGCAAGTCGAGTTTAGGGGCGCTTGTGCTGAGTTTCGCTTCAACGAATTCACCGGCTTGGACTTGCCGCTTGCCAAAGTGCAACTTTGTTTCGACGACGGGGTCGCAGTGAGGCAGGACATCGGGAATGACCTTCATCTGGGTGATACGCTGGACCAGAATCTTGCGGCGGTATTCGCGCCATTTTCGGTCGGCCAAAAAGCGGTAGATGGGCTTGGACATGTCGCCTGAATTGGTAGAAAACGAACCATTAGCCTTAGTCAAATTTGACCAGCTGACCTAGAGATGATTACCTTGATTATCTTCAAATTTTCGCTTGACCAAGGGGTCGTTAATATCGGCCAGGACTTTGAGACGCTCCAGGTGTAATTGCATCGCAGTAACGCGGGACTTCTTCGCCTTGGCTCCTCCAGCCTCCTCGACGGACAAAGCCTCCTGTCTGGCAAGACGCTGCCTCATCGTCTCGATCTCCTTCAACTTCTCTTCGCGGTCCGCAAGCAAAATCTTCCGGGCTTCTTGGAAACATTGGTAGGGTAGTTGTTCGAAAGGAATGTTCTCTGAATCTTGGAGCGCGGCACGACGACGACGAGATCCAATGGGGGCAGTTCCCTGTCGCAGCAACCTTCTTTCCAGACGGGGACTCGTCACAAGAGAGGGATCGGGTGCTTTGTGGAAAGGTTGGCTAGGAGTTTCAGCTTCGGCCTCTCGAACGCTGGCGGTCGACTGGAAGGCTCGCGTTTGGAGCTGGACTCCAGCCACGCCCCTAGAGTAGGTTTTGCGAAGGCATTGGAGCAGAGGCTTCGAAGCCAGCTCGCAGTGGGCCATGATTTGAGGAATTGGGGGTTATGATGGGCTTGGCCTTGAGGATCCGATGTTGTTGTCTTCCGGGGAACTTTTTCTGTTCGGTACCTAACCCATCACGTGACCCTTCTAGTGCTCCTGGGATACACCATGTAGGACATTGCACAGCTCTGCTCAACATAGAAAGGTCCTCTGCACAGTTATAGTTTTATCGCCTTCGTACACATTTGAAAGACCTCTAAAATTAACTTTCGAAAAAAGAATCGCAAGGGTCGGCTAGTAGTTGAATCCATGTTGTATACTTTGTAGCGCCAAGGTTCTGCTGGCACCCACCGCCCGGGATCAACTTTTGCTCCATTCAAGACTCCGGACATCATCAACTTATACGTCGATCACGCAGTGACTTTCACGATGCCAGGTAACGATGTTATTCGGTCGTTGAGGCTGCTGTCGCGCAGCTCGGGCGGACTTGCGTCAGGCCCGAAGCAGGTGACGGTTAGTGCACTCCATGAATTCTTCTTGGTCCGGTTGTAGGACGCATTTACTGACAGCGCATCGAATTACAGCAACGATGCCTTACACGCTCAATGGCAACCGAAGCCACAACACAACTACCAGTAGCAACCAAGGATGCTGTCCAGGTTGAACAAGCACAACGACCAGGGGGCCAAACCCCTGTTCAAGTCATGACCTACCGGTGGCCTGACTTGCAACCCCAACGTCTGGTCCATTACTCCCGCAGGCTACTTCAGATGCCCACTCGTCACGATATTCTCCACCGCGCAGTTATCTACGAGGGCGACAGCACCCGACAAGGTTCAGCCAGCACCAAATGGAGGGACGATGTGCACGGTAGTCACAAGAAGCTCTACGCGCAGAAGGGCTCCGGTCGTGCGCGTGCGGGTGACAAGATGTCGCCAGTTCGACGAGGTGGTGGTGTCGCTTTCGGACCTCATCCTCGTGATTTCTCGACCGATCTGCCACGAAAGATCTACGACCAAGCCTGGCGCATTGCCCTCAGCCACCGACTTTCACGCGGCGAATTGATTGTTGTTGACAACACCATCGGTATTAGTGAAGCTGCGAGCCCGTTCTTCATCAGAAATCTCGTCAAGGCTCATGACTGGTATCATAAGGGCCGGTCTACATTCGTTACACTGGAGCCGAATGAGATGTTCTCTGATGCAGTGGAAAAGTTTGGCAACCACGCACGAACGATCAGCGTCGAGAATTTGGATGTGAAGAATGTCCTGGAGACAGCAAGATTGGTTATTGAGAAGAATGCACTGCACAAGATCTTGCTTTCGCATTCGACGGACTTGGCGAAGGTGGACACTCTCTTTTCGCCTTCAGCAAACGGAGAGAAGGTGTATCCCCTAAACTTTAGCCGGATGAAGGCTACATGGGAGAACGTTTAATTGTATCATCTTCTGTTTCTTTTTTTTTTTTGGCATCATCTAGCTGTGTACAAATAGATCATCTATACTTCAAACATTATCACTCTTCAGAGTCGCCTGGGGCTACCACATATGCAGTACTTGGCTAGCTTTCTGCTTTCATGTACTATTTGGGCCCATTTATACTATTTTCTAATAAATGACATCAATTGGGGTGATGCCAAAATGTACCTCCGAGCTCGTCGGTTATGGGCGGAGAGTTGGTCCTCGGAGCGGAAAGAAAATCCAGCGAAAACCTCCCGAGGTCAAGGAAAGCGGAGAAAACATCTGATTGTCACCACATAACCCCCTCCCCTGGTTCTCGTCATATTTCAGTTCTAATGCTACTTCGACAATTCAATCGCGTCTCCTCGCCGAGCTGGATCTCGCGCGTTCCTTCAGTAATGCCTCTACGCGCCAAGGTGACCAACCCTGCCTTTCGGGCAACAGCTATGGTACGCACCCTGTTCGGAGAGAAACCCGATCTCCAGTGCTTACTATTGTTAGATGTCGACTTCACCTGATATCCCCAAAGAGCTCCCCGGCGATGAGCGCGATGATGTTCTGTTCAACTCGATCTACGGCCTCCGCAGCGTTGAGCTCAACCGGCCCAAGAAGCTCAACTCTCTTAACGGCTCGATGGCTCGCAAGATTCTTCCTCGGTTGAAGGTTAGAATGGATATCCCGAACTTCAGAAACATACAATACTAAGCGTTGGATAAATAGGAGTGGGAGAAATCTCATCTTGCAAACATGATCCTCATCTCCGGAGCCGGCACCAAGGCTCTCTGCGCAGGAGGCGATGTCGCTGCCCTGGCGCTGCAGAACGAGAGTGGAGTGGAAGGACAAAAAGCATCGACAGAATTCTTCGGCCTCGAATACCGCCTCGACCACCTGATTGCTACATACTCCAAGCCTGTTATCTCATTTATGGATGGAATCACCATGGGCGGTGGTGTGGGCCTCAGCATGCACGCTCCCTTCCGAATTGCGACTGAGCGTACCGTTTTTGCTATGCCCGAGACCACCATTGGCTTCTTCCCCGACGTTGGCGGCTCGTTCTTCCTCCCGCGTCTGGACGGTGAGACTGGCACATACCTGGCTCTTACCTCGGAGCGCCTGAAGGGTGTCCAGGCTCTGTATGCAGGCATTGCCACACATTACTTGCACTCCAGTGTTCTGAGCAATGTGGCGCAGCGTCTTTCGGAGCTGACTTTCCCCGACCACGTCGAGCTTCCCGAGCGTTTGGAAATCGTGAACAAGACCATGACTGAGTTCTCCCTTGGCCTTCCCTCGCTTGAGGAGGAGCCTATGCTCATGGCTGGTAGCCTGCGCACTGCCATTGACCGCTGCTTCGGATTCAACACTATGGAGGAGATTATCCAGGCTTTGGAGAAGGAAACTGAGCACAAGGAGTGGGCACAAAAGACATTGGAGACTTTATCAGGCCGCTCCCCGACATCTCTGAAGGTGACCCTGCGCCAGCTGCGTCTTGGCAAGAAGTGGACCATCTCGGAGACCTTCCAGCGCGAGCACGAGATCGCTGCCAACTTCATGCGCCACCCTGATTTCGTCGAGGGTGTCAAGGCTCGTCTGATGTCCAAGCCTGCCCGCAAGCCTGAGTGGCAGCCCGCTACTCTCGATGAGGTCTCGGATAAAACCGTGGACAACTTCTTCGAGATCCCGGACGATTCCCGCCTATCGCTTCTGAGCCAGGGAGATTACAAATACTACCCTCATGCTCACTTTGCTCTTCCCTCTGAGAGTGAGATTGAGAAGGTTGTGCGCCAAGGGCACCCATCGCGAAGACCCGTTGTCGACTACTTCCTCCAGAAATACGCCCACCGCGAGGGTGTGCGCCGAAAGGTCGTCGAGGTGATTGCCCGACGGACGACAACATCATCTCCCGAAGGACTCAAGTGGTTGGATTAGAGAGAGATACCGTCTATAGCGTGTAATATTTATCGGGGGTATTAGAATTTATGGGAATTGGGCCCATATACCACACATACTATTTATTGGATTTCTTGAAGATCTGCAATTATCAATGATCATTTCTCTAGAACAGCACCGTAGTATTCAGCTGACTCAAGTATAAAAGCATTTATTATATGTAATATACCAATAGCACACTATTGCATCCTAACGCCGTTTTAAGTTTCCACGAAGGTCCTCAGCCCACCCGCGACATTACGGATCCGTCAACTTGATCTCAAATCCACAAATACATCCGACCAGTCCCTTGTACATATGCCGTAAATTGCACAGCGTCTCCAGATGGATCTCGAGAGCAGTTCCCCAGAGCCTAGCCGGCGCTCATCAGAAAGCGTCCCTAATCCCTCCAGCGCTCTGTTACCGACCTCGGCTGATAATGCTTCACGACCCCCAAATGATATCCCAGCACCAGAAGCCCGCTCAGTACTAACGCGCCTGTACGTCTCTCACACTCTCTCAACATGGAACTCACGCATGTTCGAATTTGGCGCCGTTCTCTTCTTAGCTTCGATCTTCCCGGGGACACTACTGTATGCTTCGATATACGCTCTAGTGCGAGCATTTTCAGCCGTCGCACTATCGTCCTGGCTGGGTGCGCAAGTTGATCGCTCAGACCGGCTCCTAGCTGTGAGATATTCTATTGGTAAGCTGGGGTCGTTTTAGATGTTTCAATATGCACGGAGTACCATTCAAGGCCAATTGCTAATCAATGGAGTAGTGTGGCAAAGAGTCCCTGTCGCGGCCTCGTGCTTGTGTTTCATAGCCACTCTGTCTATGGACTCTTCGACCCTTACGATTATCTTGTTCGCCGTGCAGGGCTTGCTGGCTTGTTTGGAGAAATTGGCCGCTACGGCTAATACGGTGGCTGTGGAACGGGACTGGGTATGTACGGTGGAATCGTATTTGGGTTGTCTGGTTTCTTCCATGGATCCAATTTTCTCCAGTCTAGGAAAGGACCTCGCTGATAACTTGACACTAGGCAATCGTGATCTCGGATTGTATCAATGTCCCTCGACAAGGTGAGAGATCCGAAACGACTTGAAGCTCTACAATCTCTAATTTTGATCGGACGGCAGACTTGAACGCCTCCATGAGACGAATTGATCTCTTCTGCAAGCTCCTAGCACCAGTATTTATCTCTTTGATCGACAGCATATCAACCCGATACGCAATCTGGACAGTATTCACCCTGAATACCGCATCTGTGCTGGTCGAATATATGGCCATTGCCCAAGTCTACCAATCAGTCCCAGCCTTGACCAAGACGCAAGCTCCTACAACACAAGCAGATGATCTAGATAGCGAGAGCGACGATGGCCACCATAATCCAACCCGCACGATACTCCGCTCCTTGTCAGAGTCACTAGCGCCTTGGAAAGAGTACATAGCCAGCCCAGTCTTCCTAGCATCCTTTGCTCTGAGCCTGCTCTACCTAACAGTTCTATCCTTCGGCGCAACAATGGTCACATACCTGCTGAGCACGGGCTTTACCTCGTTACAGGTCAGCTATATGCGCATCGGCTCCGTGATCGCCGAGCTATCCGGCACATGGACAGCACCGGTGATCATGAACCGGATCGGTCCGATTCGGTCCGGGCTGTGGTTCCTGAATTGGCAATTTGTCTGTGTAGCTGCTGCCGCCGTGGCCTTTGTCGCTTGGGACTCGAGCTCGCGGTTCGTGGCGGGTACGCTGATTGCGGGCGTTGCTTTGAGTCGGATTGGGCTTTGGGGATTCGATTTGTCGGTTCAGTTTCTCGTGCAGGAGGTAAGTAGGATCTCTAGATTATTGGTTTGTGGGGTACATGTGCTAAGCGAGTTGGGATTATGCAGAATATCCAGGAACATGCCCGTGCTCGCTTCTCTGCGACTGAAATGGCGCTACAGAATATTTTCGAGATGCTTTCTTTTGCCTCGACTATTGCTTTCCCGCTGCCGGCGCAGTTCGGGCATCCGGTGCTGATCAGTTCTGGGGCTGTGGCGGTCGCTGCTGTTTGTTTTGCGGCGTATGTGCGCAAGGAACGAGGTCATCTACTGCATCGATCACGCTGTATGGGTGGGGATAAAGTGTCATATCGAGCGATTGCGTCTGGGTCAGTTTGAACATTTGAAGTGGTTGTACATTCTTGTATCATATCATAATTCATTAGAAAATGTTTATATGAACGAGATCCTCACAAAATCAACCAAAGAGGCAAAGTCGCTGGTTATATCACAGCGCACCGCCAAGCTATTAAAGGTCATATATACAACTCGAGCCGAACATGAAGTTCAAATCATGACGAAAAAGTCCGAAAACAATTCCCGTCTCACACATTTCGAGTCTGCCCACGTGCGTGACACATCCTGCCGCCGAGTCATCTCCTCCACAAGCACGAGGACCCTATCAGCGGCCGGGTGGCGAGTGACCGAAGGTGCCGAGTCAGCTTCATGGGTAGCAGCCATACGCTGAATCTCGTGGATAATCCACTTGCGCTGGTCGTCCGTACCCTCAAGGCCAGCAACGAACAACGGCCATAGGAAGCTAACAGGCAGATTGTCCTTCCCGGTAGAGTCAACGGTAGCCAGTTGAATGATTTGATCGACAGCGCCGTTGACGCGGTCTGTGCGAGGATAGATTGCAAATGCAACGCGGTGCAAGTAGATAAAGTTTGCTAAGAAGTTGGCCACGTATTGTCGGAATGTGCGACAGATTTCCGATGCCACAGGCACACGCAGGATATCAGTTAGGGCTTCTGGTCGTCCGTAGACGTCTATTACTGAGGGACGTCGGTGCCAGAGTGTTTCGAGGTCTGCGCCGACTTTGTGGGCGAGCTGGAGTACTTCAAACTCGTCGGTTAGGGTTCCGCGGCTGCGGTGGTGGAGATCGATGCAGACTATACGTCGGACGACTTGTTGGGCTTGTACGAAGAATCGGAATGCTGGGCCTACGATTGATTCGTAGACGAGGTGGTTGGGACTGAGGAATGGGTCTTCGATGCTGTCTTCTTTGTAGTTGTCTGTTGCCGCTTTCGAATGGGGTGTTTGGGAATTTTGTGCATCTAGTGGTTTCAGTGGTATGCTATGTTCCGGGATGTTGCCGAGCTCAGTGAGAGGATCGCCATCTCGGCCTGCAATCAGGGACTTGACATCTAGCAGCGAGACCCATGACACAAGGAGATGACCGAGGCCAGTCCAATGTCGGGTACGATTATGGAATCGTTGGAGAATAAGGTATCCGGAGTGAATGTAAGAAGTTCCGGTACATATTTCGGGAGATGAGAGGATCTGGGACAATATGAGCCAAGCCCACTCGATCTCGAGACCAAGCAGAACCTACCTCGGATATCATTAAGAGAAAAACAGCACCAAAAACTTTGACGAGCGTGGATTCAGTCACCTCGCCATGGATACAAGCTTGGATCTCCGAACTGGACAGTCTATAAAAAGTCGGCGCCCAGCGCCAATTTTTCCCTTCCATCATCGCTTTATGGACATCTGCATAGCAGTATAAAGCATTCAAAAGCGGACTAGAATCTCGTGCATGAGCCAGCAGTGCTGGCCGCATATACTTCCACTCGATGTTTGCTGGCGCAAAAAGAGCAGCCGGTGGGTCAATAGTCAGAAAGTGCTGTAGCAACTGGTCCTCATACGACGTAGCGCCTGCGTCAGACAAGCCCCGCGTAGATGGCACTTCTGAGGCGCCATCAATCGAGGTTCCATCAATAAGTGAAGGTGAGGTATCTGGAGTAAGTGGAATTCTGCGCTCTGCTGAAAAGTACCCTTCATCCATGCCTGGTATGAGTGTCGCGGGTAGCGACTGCGACGCCGGGCTAGCGGTGAAAGCCATCGCGCGTCCGGATGTCAAGTCCAGGTGTTTCTGTTCCAGCTCAGAAGTAATCCCGCCCATAAATCCAAGCATGTCAAACTCGGAAAGATAAGAGTCCTGCTCTGTAGGGAGCTGCCGAAGTGTTGTTGTCGGCGTTGATATTCTGTGGTGGCCGTCTACACGGAGCACGGTACTAAAGTAGTTGATGCCGGGAGACCGGGATGCAGTTGCGGCTGCAGCGGAGGAGCCTGAACTCCCTGGGCCTTCTGTGATATTCGGCGATGCAGTTGTATTGTTGGATGGGCGAGTTGGTGATGACCCCGACCCCACACGAGGGCTGATAGGGGGTCTATAGAGACATTGTAGACGTAATCGATCGCAATTGGAGCAACTTGGTTTCCCTTCGTCGCACCGTACCTTACGGGCCCTGCATGTTAGGCACCCTGTCCGTCGACGCGGGCCCGACCTGCCAGCTCCCCGGGCTTTTGGTACCTGGGAAGAATTCATGTTAATCTCAGGAACAAGGCGAGGAATGTACAAATTACCTCCATGATGGATCAAGCCCCGGTTTAAACCCAAATCATACTAGATACAAAGTACATACCTATGTAGTCTGTAAAGAACTCGACGTGGTTGGGTTTCCCCGCAATAACGCCGATTCTCGGGGATTGCGATGACGAGCTCGTATGGTGATCAGTCGAATTTCAGAATATCTATAACATTGAAAATGATATTATTTCACATCTCGAGGTTCTAGCTAGCTAGTTAGGAGGTCATTTTGATATTATTAATATACGCAATTGCCATTGGAATGATGCATTAACTACGACCTCTCTTAGGTTTGACAATTTTAGAAATTAAATATCGAAGCGACCTACATAATTATGCATATGCTTGTACTTCATGCCTAGAAAGTGCCTGATTAGCTCAAAATGAGGTCAAAGACATCAAAATTGAGGCTAGTTCTCGCATGTTGACAACTTACTGTGTTCCTGAATATCCCTATTTCGGCCTTTATACAGTTCTGAGACATCTATAGACTGCAAGATGGAATATACTCATCTCTCAATAAAGACGGAATATACTCAGCTAATTAATATCATCCTAATATCCCACTAAGCCACCCTCCTCCTTCTCGGCCAACTTCCTCCGTACAAAGGCCTCCATCCCATCCCTCTCCTCAACAGTCAACAATTCAATCCGATCCTCCAAATTGCCCTCCCCGAAGAACCTCCGATCAATCCTCGCCCAGTAGATAATATCGAAAGCCCAACTTCTCCTCGCCGCATAACTAACCCAGAACCCCCCATTATCCCAGCTCTCCCGCATATGTCCAGAAAGCCGATTCTCCTCTCCAATAACCCCACGCCGAATATCAACATCCTCTCGCATGCGCAGCTCCTGTAAGAAAACCTCCAACCGGGTCTCATACACCCTCTCCCAGTCATCAATTCCATCCTCCCAGTACTCTGGCCTCTCAAGCAGCAGCCAGCACGGCGGACTATACACGAACTCCAACGGAGCAGCATAAGCAAACTCCCAATCAATAGCCCCGGATATCTTATACCCAAACTCCGAGTTGGCAAGTATATTTGCCGGCCGCAAATCATCACAGAACAGCTTAAACATCCCTTCCTCCGCAACCCAACAAAGCCGCGCCTCCCTCGCAAGCTTCCGGAACAGACACCGCGCAATATACTTCATCCTGCAGTCCTGCGCATCGTCAATAGCGTCATTCTGCTGCGACGAAAGATGCGTCATATGCAACTCCGCAAGAGCAAGTAAATAACCTGCCCCAGTATCAAACGTCTCCGTTATCCCCGGCAGATCCTCAGCCGCCACACCACCCACTTGCACAAGCTCATTCATATTGATACTCAACGGCCTGTGCATAACAACCCACTCGTCATCGAACTCGTCTTTCGCTGCATTAGATATACATCCAATACGAGGAAACGAGTGTTTCGCAACCTGCAACAACAGTCCCGCCATCTGATTATACACCGAGCGCAACCTGTTCTCGTCAATACTGGGATCGAGAACGGGCCGTTCTTCGTCCGGCAGTCCGGGCGTATTCAGCGCATCCACCAAATCCGCGTTATGGTCGATATACTCCATGATAATGAACGGGCCTAGGCCGTACGGACTTTCGTCGCTGCTGCCGTGATACAGGACGTGCGGGATGCGGATGCCTGTGTGTCGCTCGAGAAATCGCATGACGGATACTTCGTGGTGGAGCTTTTCGTCTGGGAAGACTGAGTAGCCTGGGATTGGGAAGCGGATTATGGCTGAGGCGCCGTCGATGAATCGTAGGCGGATTACCATGTTGAAGGAGCCCTTTTGAGGTGGGAAGAGTTGGCCTGCTACGCCATGGCGGTGGGTTTTGATTAATGTGGTTATCTTTTTCATGGATTCTTCGTTGAGGAGGGTTGCTTTCCAGGTTGCTAGTTGGCCGTCGCTTTTGTCCCAGGCTACTTCGTCGAAGAACATTAGTCTGCCTTTCATGGTTGGAATTTCGGGTATTCCTGGTATGGAGAGTGCTGGGTTCGAGGGGATGTATGTCTATTATAGACGGTCTACGCTGGTGAATTGCTTTACCCCGCGGTTACTCAGGAGTATCGGCAAGTCGCATGTTCTGAAACAAAGGGCTGACAACTACAAGCCATTTCTATTTATTTGATCTGATTGGAACGATTCAGGGGAGCTATAACAGTTCTACCTTTCCCTCAGAAAGGCTTGACAGTCCGCTGGAACCTCGGCGGTTGACGCGTAAACTTCTCCGGCTGGTCTCTAGCCCCATCTTTCCAATAATCAAACTCCATCCACGCATTCTCAGGCATCTGCGACTCAGTCGCCTCTAGAAATTCCCCAAGATCAGGGCAGAGCGGCACAACACCCGTCTCAAGCACATACTGATCCCAGAGCTTAAGCAACTGCTTCAACTTCTCCGGCTCGGCATCTGACAGATCGTGGATCTCCCCGGGATCTTGCTCGAGATTATACAACTGCCACTTCTCAGGGCCCTTAGGCTTGGGAATAAAAACGATCTTCCAGTCCGCACAACGCAACGCAGCCCGTCCACACGTCTCCCAGCCCTGAATAAACTCAGCCGGGTGGATCCGCTCCGCCTGACCCACCGCCCAGGGGTGGAAGCTTCGTCCGCGCATCTCGACGATCTCACGTCCCTGGTATGTGGGCGCCGGGTGCTTGATCCCCGCCATCTCCAGGATAGACGGGGCCAGGTCCATAACCGTGGCGAACTGATCCGTGATCCCGCCCTTACCGGCCGCAACATCTACAGGGTTGACATTGAAGTTCACAGGGAAGCGACATATGAATGGGACACGCACGCCGCCCTCGGTGGTGTACGCCTTATACAGACGCGACGGGGCAGTAGCAGCCTGCGCCCAGCGCGGACCGTACCAGATAAACGAGTTCCCATTCCCGAGGTTCTCCAAGCTGTTGTCGTAGTATTTCTGCAGATGGGGCATGACGCCGTTCTGGACCATCGGGTAGGCCTCGTAGGCGGCGCCTTCGGCACCATTATCCGACATGAAGCACACGAATGTGTTGTCTAGCTCGTCGATCGACCGGAGGTACTCGACTACCTTCCCGACATTCGAATCAATGCACTCGACCATCCCCGCAAACACCTCCATCGCCACCGCGGACTTCTTCTTCTCCTCCGTGCTGTACTCCGCCCACTCCTTGACTTCCTCCGCTTGCACCGGGTGCGGCTTGACATCGTCGCGCACCATCCCCAGCTCTTTCAGACGCTGTAGCCGCTTCTCGCGGAGCACGTCGGGTCCTTCGTCGTACACCCCGCGGTAGTGGTCGATGTACTCGCGCGGTGCTTGCAGCGGCCAATGCGGCGCTGTGAAAGGGAGATATGCGAAGAACGGACGGTCGCCCTGTCTGTCGGGGCCTTCGCTGCCGCCGCTCGCTTTCCATTCTTTCAGGTAATCCACCATCTTGTCGCCGTAGCCGTCGGACGAGTACCAGCCCTCTGGGAGGTGGCGCACGTACTCACCATCCTCCATGTGCAGGGCGATGTAACTTGCCTCGATGAAAGTCGGGCACTGGTCCTTGTCTTTTAGCTCTGGCTCATAGGCATAGTGATTTGAGCAGGCAGGCAAGTGCGCGAATGAGCGCTCGAACCCTCGCTTGTGTGGTGACCGCTCTGGAGTTAGACCTAGGTGCCACTTGCCCGACATTACTGTGTGATATCCCCCGTCGCGGAGGATCTCGGGCAGTGCCGCGACCCGCTCGTTGAGGTAGCCCTCGTACCCGGGCATGCCGCGCTGGGGCGCGGTACTCATGGATGATCCCTTGGGTCCGTTCTGGCCGGAGATGTTGGTCCATTCAATGAGGTTGCCTAGACCGGCAATGTGGTGGTCTGTGCCGGTCATGATCATGGCGCGTGTGGGACTGGGTATTGTGAGCTTGACTGAGAGCTAGTGGCCTGAACAGGGGAAACTTACGAGCATGCTGCTGCTGCGTGGAAGTCAGTAAATCGGAGTCCTTCTTTGGCGATCTGGTCGATGTTGGGCGTGTGAATCTCTCCGCCGAAACAACCTATATCGGAGAAACCTAGGTCGTCGGCGACTATGACGAGAAAGTTGGGGCGTTTAGCTGCCATTTTTGCAGAAAATTAGAGAAGGTGAAACGCTTGAAGGGGTGGTACGACAATGGTTATATCAGATCTAGCCCCTGCAACAAGACGTAAATGATCGCCAATCGGCCATCGGCCATCGGCTCGACATGCGGGGATTCAATCTCCACAGTTGATCAGCAGTGGACTAAGAAAGGAGAATGAGCCAATGAGATTAGAATCACGCAGTATCAGAAGTATACAACATACGAAGTACACAAAATATGGATGTCACGCAATCCCTAATGACATAATCCATCGCCGATCTGGGGTCTCCACGTCCAGAAACGGCTTCATCTCTCTCTAACCGACCCGACATTCCTTCTTTTTGACCTATGACAGGTTCGATTCAATAGTTTACATGTAGACATGTCCAATGTAATATATATCCCACTCTCTTCCCCACCTTCAGCTCCATATCCCCATTCTCTAAATGGTATAACACTCTGAATACCTGGTGGAACTCAACACCCACAATATCATACTCGAAGCTCCCCCAAGCACCGCAATTAGAGCCTCCAGACCCAGCTCCTACAATGGAGACAACTCGACCACCAAAGCCCCACTGGCGCATATACTGGTTCGCTCTCGTACTCTGCTGCGGCGGAGCCTTATTCGGTTATGACTCGGGGGTAATTGGTGAGTACCTCTCCAACCCAGCATTCCAATGCAATGCAATCCAGTCCATACCAAATCCATACTAACACCTCCCCCAGGCGGAGTCCTAACATTCCCCACCTTCACAGCGTCCTTCTCAATCCTCCCCACCGACAAAACCCGCACAAGCGCGATCGCCGTAGGAATCCAACAAGCGGGCGCATTCGCCGGCTGCTTCCTAATCTGGCCGATAACAAACCGCTACGGACGCCGTCTCGCAATGGGACTATGTTCCATAATCTTTAGCATCGGCGTAATCCTCGAAACGATTGACTCGCATTCTCTCTCTGTATTCTACGTCGGACGCGTGATCTGCGGACTAGGCATTGGCGGTTCCGCGACCGTCATCCCGATCTACATGTCCGAGATGAGTCCGAAAGAAATCCGCGGTCAGTTGGGGAGTTGTTATCAGCTAACGTACACGGTTGGGATCCTTGTTTCGTACTGGGTTGATTATGGAGTTAAGGGGATGGGAGAGGAGGCTGGGGCGCGGCAGTGGCAGATTCCTGTTGGATTGCAGCTTGTGCCTGGCGTTTTGATGGGGGTTGGTATGTTTGGTGTCGCTGAGAGTGTTAGGTGGTTACTTGGAGTTGGGAGGGAGGCGGAGGCGTGGGATTGTCTTGTTTGGATTCGGGGTGGGGATGGGGAGGGGGTTAGGGGGGAGTTTGAGGATATGAGACGGGGGTTGGAGGAGGAGAGGGATGCAAGGGATGGGTTTCAAGTTTGGGAGTTGGTTGAAAGGGGGAATTTGAAGAGGATGGGGATTGCTGCGGGCTTGTTTCTTGCGCAGCAGTCGACGGGCTCGACGGCGTTGGCGTATTTCGGGCCGCAGTTCTTTGAGTTGCTTGTTGGAGATGGGGATCGGACGCTTTTGTTGACGGGGATTTTTGGCGCGATTAAGGTCGTCGCTTGTTTGGTTTTTGTGGTGTTTTTGTCTGATCGTTTTGGGAGACGGCCCTTATTGGCCGGTGGTGCGGCGTTTATGGCGGTTTGTATGATTGCCACTGCGGCGGTTGTGAAGTCTTATCCCCAGCCTGGTGATGGGACGGTTACTTCTTCGGGAATTGCCACGGTCGCCCTGATATACCTCGATATCATCGCTTACAACTTCAGTTGGGGTCCGTTGCCGTGGCCGTGTGCGAGTGAGATCTTCCCTACGCGCATTCGGGAGCCCGGCGTTGCGTTCGGTGTTGGATCGCAGTGGTTGTTCAATTTTGTGTGGAGTTTCTCGACGCCATATATCCAGGAGAGCCTAGGATGGGGTACATTCTTGCTCTTTGGACTGCTGGATGTGGTGATTGTGGGCTTTACTTACTTCTGTCTGAAGGAGACGGCTGGGAAGTCCCTCGAGGAGATCAATGGGATGTTCGATGCTCATCCGGACGCCGAGCATGGGTGGAAAGATCCTTTGAATGATGATGCCACCGCATCACAGGTACCCGCTGAAAGGTATCAGGACGCACAGATCGATACCGTTGAATCGGTCTCCAAGCATAAGGCTGTGCATGTCGAGTCAACCGCCGGACGGTCTTGACTTTGGGCTGTATTCTCTTTGTTCTACCATATAAAAACATATTGATAGAAACAAATTCATTTCCATCTGCCATGTTATAGAAGATACATCCAAGGCAACCAGGCAATTGCCCACAGCAACAATCCACCCCCTAGCCAATGGCCCTCAAGGCAGCTAGAACTGAGAATCAAAAGTAGTACCGAATATCAAAGAAACAGCTTCCGCTTACTCAAGTCGGAATCAAGACGCCAGACACCCTCCAGTTCCCACACTGGATCGCAATTCAAAGGTTTCAAAAATCCACATTCAACGCCAGACAGACCTGCTGCCACCGATTACCTCCACATAAAAGGTCATTATCACATAACATCAACTCCTGTTCAACTCACACGTTGATCAAGTCATCAAAGGATGCATCCTCCGCCGAGAATGAATAAGACCCGCCTTCCGAGACCAGCGAAGCCTCCGACTCGCGACGCATCTGCTGCTCAAACGCCTCCGCCGCCGCCGCCGCAGCCGGCTCAAGCTGCAGAGCATCATCAAAGCCAAACGACATCGACGTCGGTGCCGCGGGGGCAGACACAGCCACGGCAGTCGTAACAGGAGCCGGGGTAGGATCGAGCGGAGAAACAGAGACGGAGGGGTTATCGGGGATCCTGCCAGGCGACTCCGGCAGCCCACCGGCAGACGGGGCACCATCTTTATCTGTAATTTTCTTGACCATCTGTGCGAGATGAAGTTTAATCGGCTCATCCCCACACTGAGCATGCTTCAACACCTCATTCTTCAGACCCAGGATCTCCGAGCGCAGGCGGGCAATCTCCGCAATCAACTGTGCCTTTTTCTCGGACTGTTCCTTGAAGCTGAACTCTAGATGCTGGGTGTGCTCTTTCTTTTTCTGGCGACACTTGCTTGCGGCGAGACGGTTGCGCTCGAGGAACTTTGCCCGCTTGGCGCGTTCGTGTGGGGCGTCGTCGAGATCTGGGCTGAGGCTTGCGGCGGCGGTCTTGTATTCGCGCACGCGCCGTCGTTTGCTCGCGCTTTCCATCATGTCTAGCGAAAGATCACGGCCTTGGTCATCGTATGGGGGCGGGGTTGGTTGGCCATTGCGGACCTGTGCATTTTTTAGGTCCCGCTCGAGTGCGGAATTGGCAAAGGCCGCCGAGTCGGCCTTGTCCCAACCTGCCATTGGTGAGACCGGGCTCAGACCCCAGAGTTGGTCGTCGTCTGGAATGGGAAGGCCTAGAAAATCGCCTGAGAAGGAACTTGTGAATGGTGATGGATCGATGATATTTGTTGCAAGGCCAGGTAACCCTGATGATAGGCCCGGCACAGATTTGAGGTTGGTAGACATGTCAAAGGGAGGAAGCTTTAGAGAAACTTTTGTTCCTTCTAAAACATGGAAGAGAAAGAAAGCAAGAGAAAGGAAGCTAAGACAGACTCTCTTGCCCTAATAACCCTAACCAAAATTAAATAAAGAACCTTGGGAAGGTCTCACTGTCTCTGATTCACTGATTCACTGATTCGCTGTGGAAAATGGTAAGTTGGTTTGGTCGGTGCCTGAAAAAGCGTAGAGTCCAGGTGCGGTCGACCTTGGAGCCACGGTCGGACAAGACTTCCTGCGGTCCAGAAGATCCGGGCGAATGGCACAGGTTGAATGATGTTTTTAGTGTCACCATAAAGGAAGAGAGGTAAGTAAAAAAGAAGAATGGTAAAAGGGTTCGATTTTTATCCTTCAAACCCTTCAAGACCTAGAACCCTCTGAACCCAGACCCTGTCCACTATAAAAAAGCAATAAAGACAATAAAGGTAAGAGATAGAAACAAAAAGAATGGTATCCAACAGGATTCAAAGCCGTCAAGGGAAAAACAGGGTTGGGCTGGTGGGGAATATCCCGCTCAACAGGGAAGTATAACAACTTCTTCTATACAATCCAATCAGAGAATCCCCCTCTGGTTTTTCATATGAAACAACCCAAAGTGACAAAACTTGATTATTCCCTGCCCACCACGTACCGTCCACGGGTCCAGTGTTGCAACTGTCGATGTATGAAATGCCAATTATTGAGCAATAACCCCGCCACACGTTGATCTTCAACGTCCTTTTGCACCTCTCTTAAGATCCCTTCTCGGTTCTCTTGCTCTCGGTTCTGTTGCCCCCTGGGCCCGAGGAGCAGCGGTCCAAACACCCGCACCAAGTCCTGGAAGTTCGGACTCGCCACTGGATCACGGAGCTCCATCCCGGGTTGGTCTTGGACGTTGGTCTTTGCATTCACCAGCATGGACAGTAGCCCAAATACTGCACAGATAAGATCGCGCTGCATCTCAGGAGCGAGAGCAATGAGCGCAAGGCACATAAGCTGCACTCGGATGGCAGTCGTTGGGCTCGCCTCAGAGATGCAGTCTGGCACACGGAGGAGATGTGATTGTTCTGGAACCGAATGGTAGTACATTTGGCTCAAAACTCGGTAGAGCCGGACACTCCCGAGGATCCCGTCTGGAAGCCCCGCCAGCACGGCCTTTAAGGCCCAGGCCACACTCAGCACGGGCGCCGCGTCTTCACGGAGCTGGGGCATGGCAACCACACGCATGGTAAGGGAAATGTTAGACTCATCTTTCTCGGCGTCGATCACCTGGCTAGCAAAGTGGTCGTACAGACGAATGGCGACTTTCAGATCGCCGGGCTGGATGAAGATCTCGGGAGTGTCAAGACCTGCAGGAACCCGGGTCAGTCAAGTCATGACGTAGAAGACGCCGCCACCAACCATATTTATGCAGAAACAGCAGCGTTGCCACAATGTATGCCGGCAACTGGACGGGACAGGGGGCTAGGTCCGTCAGCATCAGATAGCCATGTCCTCCAAGACGGGCCAAAGTCTCGATCGATTTTCCTTGTAACGAAGTCATCGGATTGGGACGGCGCATATTCGCGAATGTTTTCATTCGTCGCAGCTTAGGAGCTGGTGCCAAAGGGGTTGTGTCGGCATCCAAACTGGATCGCACCTTGCGAACTTTGCCCAACAATCCAAATCCACGACGACTCGTGCCCTGTTCCTCGGTGTCAGGATTGCGCTCTGCTGCTAGAGTCTAGTCAGTGGCAATCCATGCACAAGTAAAGACAGACGTACGTGGACTTGGGGTATCTTCACCGGGAATGGCAATCGGGATATTGAACTGAGATGCCATATGGTTGAAGGCCGAGATTGCCTTGGGTGAGTCAAGTGTGCTACTCCAGCTTGCTTCACTGTTCGCCGAAATTGCCCTCTGACAGTCCGCACGTTCTGACTCGGGTTCGACGACTGGTTCGATTGTGTCCAAATCAGTCTCGGCGATAGGCTCCAGCGTCCCTTCAGAAGCCCTGGATGATTCCTCTCGGCTCGTGCCGGCACTATGTCTCGAGGAACCCGACCTTCCTTGTCGGACGTCAGCGGCCTTCTCATCCGAGAACGGGTCCGAACCCTCGAGGGTATGAGTGTTGGCATTGCTACTACTGTCAGGGTAATACATCATCAGTCCCGGCAATCCCCAATCCATAGGTTCCTGAATAGGCATCGCAATGTGTCGGGCAGGGTCCCAACACACAGTATCCTCAGTCTGGCTGGACTCCTGAGAATGAGTTGTCTGAGCGCTAACCTTCCGCCCCTCTTGCGGGTCATCGAACCTGACAGACTTGCCTGTGGTTGTGGATGGTTCCCCGGCAGTATCTGGATCAATGGGATTGGAAGCCAAAGGTTTGGACCTCAACCTTTCTTTGCGGGTACCCTCCTGCGCAGCTTGAGGCTGTGTCTCCGTGATGGGATCATCTTCCTGGGATAGGCTGCCTCGCAAGCGAGCAACCATTCTCTTCAGACGTTTGGTGCCATTCTTAGATCGAGGAAGCTGGCGAAATTCTTGGGTATGTTGGGCATTCGGCCCAGTTTCCCCATTGTCAACGGGGGCTACTGTGGCAGAGCCAGGTGGTTTGTTCGCAGCGCTGGGTCCCGCTTCAGTTGTAGGCTCATCGCGTTGTAGTTCATTGCAGGCGGATTCTGGCTGAGGCTTCAATGGGTCTCCCTCAGAAGCTGGACGCCGTCGTGGCCGGCCAGCACGAGATGCAGCAGGGTCAGGTGTCTCAGATTTGGGCCGGAACACAGTTTTGAGACGCCGCATGATTATGTTTGGATAATGTATACGAGAGGAAGAGATGGTGATGAAGTAAGAACTAGCATGGGGGCCCGGGATGTGACTTGGCCAAGGTTTCCTGGAGGAAGGAGCTAAGATACACTGAGGAAGCTACGCCTTGACAGCGACCTTCTATAGCCAACCTTGGAAAAACAGCAATTAAGACAATGCTTCAAATGACATTCAAATCTTCCAAGTCTATTTCCGTGCCAGCGCTGCTCGACAATAAAAAAACAAAAGAGAACACCGGTTTGGAAACCATGTCATTACCTCTGTACATTCGTAAAGTCCAAAATCAAAATAATAGCCCAGAACAGTCATGGAGTCATAGCCTCGCCGGGCCCATGTGCTCCCCAGGCAATTCATATGTTATCATCGTCTGGGGTTTCCCAGACCAGGGCAGGTCAAAACGCCGGAACCATGCAAAACTGAATATGTATGGGAAAATCACGTATTTTGAAGCAAATCATGCTTCCTCATTCTCCCCCTCGAGAAGAATGTAGTGCAGGATATCACTCAGAGTTAGAACGCCCTTGAGCTTAAAGTGCTCATCCACGACAACAAGACGGTGCACTCGCGATTTGCGGATAGTATCAAAGATCGTATCAAGTCCATCATTCAATGAACATGTGTAGATACCTGGGAAACCCTGCGCAAAAGGTAAGTATCAAACTAATATCACTAGCAACGCAAGTCGCATACCGGAGAACGTTTCTTCAATGCTTCCCCGACTGTGAGACTCAAGTCATCGTAGAAACCACCCTTGATCAAAGTAATAACATCAACCGACTCGAATACGTTATACACCACGCCTTCCGAGTTCACAATCGGCACGCTGGATATGCTGCGCTCGACCAAAATATGGATGACATCAATGACCGGGGTATCCATCGAAGCTGTAGCAACGTTGTCATACGATCCAAGTAAGAGCTCACCCAGTGGACGACGCAGCTGCTGCGTATCAGGGACATTGACGGCGACGAATTTCAAGATACGGTATTGCGTAATGACGCTGAGGACGTGAGGCCGTTCGGTCTGGCTATCGCTGGTGACGAGGGGGATACGGCGGGCGCGCGATTCCAGCATGCGCCGACAAGCATCGTAGAGAGGGCGCTCCGGGTCGATGGAGACGGTCTCCGGCGGCGCCACGCCTAGCGCCTTTTCAACTTCTGTATATTCCCGTTAGCCGCGGGGTGTACCTGCAGGAATGCGGGCTACACGGGGGCCCAACGCACCTCGCAAACTGTCCAGGCGGAATTGATCGATCTGGTCCAGCGCCGCAGGGTTTTGGAAATAGTATTGGATGACATTGATGTAGTCGGACGTGGTCAGCAGACCTGCGAATTTGGACGCTTTGGAGTCCCACAACGGAGCTGAAACGATGCCTGTACCTCCCGATTCCCGGGTTCACAGTTAGCTGAAGTTCGGCAATTTCGTACAAAAGGAGGAAATCGCGAAAGACCCGTACCGTTTTGAATCAGAATGTTCAGACTCTCCTTGACGGAAAGCGACGTATCGAAGATGATGAGTCGGAAGCTGAGCGGCAGGACATCGTAGGAGTTTCGGGCCTTGAGGAAATCGCGAATGGCACGCTACTTGCGTGTTAGTCAAGATCTGGATATGCCCAGGTGATCTGGTGACAGGTGAACCCATGCCGAAACATGTTCACAATGTCCGATCCCCATAGTGTCCAACGTCAGGTATAAAGAGGAGTTGGTTTCCCCTCTTTGGAAAAGCAAAAGGGGCAAGACTTACAAGGCCCTGTCGCTCTTCGCGATCGATCGTTCGCTCGGAGGCCATTGGGGGGCGTAGGTACGAGGATGGGCTGCACGAAAGCCGCGTGACCAGAGTCGAAGGTCCCGAGTCGAGGATCTTCCGCCTTTCGATATGTGGGGGTGGGAGGGATCCTACGCAACCAGATTGAAATTAATACATATATAGGGATTAAAGGAGATTAAATGGAATAATTTACATGTACTATGTTTTTTCTCATTTCAGATCAGATTATTACATTCAATTAATTATTTTTTGCGAATGAGGGGCTGCAAGTACGCGGACTATACGGGAACATTCAGATGATCCTTGTCCAACGATGGTGGGAGCTCCCAGATATACCGCCCTGTCTACCGCCTGCCTTTTAATATACTGCCCCTACACGGTCACGTCACTACACGCTAACCACATGTGCACCTACCGAAGCAGGTATATCCTGCGTTATGTACATACGTTACCCCTCACTTTTCCACCTTTCCATCTCTTACTGTACTTTTCAAGATGGCCGATTAATATTCCCAACCTGTGTCTAACCCAGCCTGCCCTACTTACTCCCTTTGTCCTACAACCTGCGCAAAGAACATAACAACTCAAAGATCAACATCTGTCTCCTTATTCTACCATCTTCAGAATACACCAAATATTCGATTCTGTTACAAATCTGAGAACAGCAGAAAGATATCAAAAAGACATCCAAAAACGACATGATAAGGTCGCGTCTAGGAAAATCTTCCATCTGAACTGGGAGTTGGGGCAGCCACCGACTTCCGGATATAGAGCACAATATCCGAGAACATTTCCTTATCAGGGCCAAACTCATGCAGCTCATAACCCTCCATCATTGCTCTGCTCCGCGAAGAGTCAGGATCGGTTCTGATGAGGATATTAGCAGACTGAACAGGAGAGGGCAGAAGATGATATGATGCTCACAACCCCGTATCAAGTCCATCGTGGAACTCCACTCGATACCAAATGACAACCGCAGGCCGAGCAATGTCCGTAATGATCTCCTTGGCAGGCACATTCGGTGATATCGAGACTACGATCGAGTGCTCGTCCACCTCAAGCCAACCACGCGGATCTTCAATCACCTCAATGCCGGCCTCCTTCAGAATCTTCTCGTCCACCTCAGTGTAAGCTGGGTCCTGTGAGTAACATAAGACTTTCTGTTTATCATCTCTTTCTTTTAGCCATTCTACGATGGTAACGAGGAGCGCATGCTGAGATCCAGATCGCCACCCATCTTCCGTACGTAGACTGCCATCCTCAATGAAATATTGGCTAGACATCGTGCCAAGAGCAAACCCGACCACCTTGTCAATTTCATGATTCTTTGCAGAAGATGACAGAATTCTCTTGAGCTTTTCGCACGCTGGGCTCTCGTTCCATTCTTGGGCCTTGTCTTGGAAGGTTCTTGCGACCACTTCACGGTCCATGGGGCCAGGCCACGGGATGTTTTTCTCAGTCTTGCTATCCCATTCCTGTACCCGATGCATGAGCTTGATTGAGCAGGGCTCCCAATGCTGTGACGGGTAATATCTCCGTATAACATCGCTTCTGAGACATGCTCGGCACTGATAAGAGAGGACCAGTTCCTTGCTGAATGATATCAGTTCTCTCCATAGCATAGATGTAGCTATTAACGGCAATGTACTCACAGCACATATTCCATCTCCGTACCATCCACCCGCCATGGCCTAACCCTTCCCGTCTCCACCTCGAATTCAGCAACCGCGCCGGTTATGTCTTTCGTAAGTATTTTGTCGCCTGGGGCTGGGTCTCGCTTGATCTGATCCCACATGTCTTGGATTAACGCCTTCGTGAAAAAGGGCACTCCAGATTCGTAGAGTTTGTCGATGATTTTCCTCGCTTCCTCCAGAGTTGGTACCTCCCCAGGTTCAGCCAAGCGACAACGTGCGTAGCTGTAGCCAAGCCTCAACCGCGAGACTCTTTCTGCCACGGGCTCTAAATTGGTTATGTCGCCCATGTTCGTGATGTGACTGTAAGCGCTTTGGGTGGCTTTTTGGACTTTCAAGGTAGGAAAAGAAGTTGTATTTATTTTTGGGAGTACTTGTAAAATAGCTATTGCGGCTGACGCTTAAGCCAGCGCATCCATCACACTCGCACCTACATATCACATTTGCGGGGCACATCCACTTGAACAACGGTAATTAATACCTATTGCTCGGGTCTTTTGTGTAGTTCATAAGATACTATTACTGGTAGCCGCTGATTGGAGAGAAAGCGCTTAAAGAAAAGCAAAGACATGTTTCGATACACCCAACTATCTATAGAAAGACACGTCTAAATATCCAGAGGGCACCTAGGCAGCCTAATAAGCACCCTCACGCCTTACCTTGGAAAGGCGGCTCATCCTTAGTCCTCCTGATATAGATCGCAGCATCGCGGAACTGCGTTCCGTCAGGTTTGAATTCACGCTTGTCGTACCCCTTCATCATTTCCCTAACCCGGTCCGAATTAGGATCAAGCCTAGCGAGCATGCATGTTAGCTTTGGAGCCAAACCCCATAGGGCACATTAAAACGTCTAAGGAAACACTCACATGAGAGTATCCATTTCTTCAACGACAAACCAGATCACAATAGCAGGTCTAGCGATATCAGCGATGATGAGCTTCGTAGGTACGTTAGCTGCTATGGATAGCACAATCGACTGTCCATCAACCTTGAGAAAGCCCTCTGGGTCGTCAACCACTTGGAAACCGACGTCGCGGAAAATTCGCCTATCGACGTCGGTGTATTCCGGATCCTGCATATAGCAGGAGAGCTCATCCAGCCCGTTTGTTTGCAACCAGTTCTTTGCGGTGACCAGCAACACATGCTGGAAGGCAGATTTAGATCTGCCTGGTCGAGACAGGCTACCACAGGCAAGCCCGACGATGTTGTTGATCTTATGGTCTTTGGCTTTTGACAGAGTCACCTCGAATTTCTTGCGGGTCTCGCTTTCTTCCCAGGCCACTTTCTCCTGTTCGAAAGCATCGCGGGTGAATTCGGAGTCCCAGACTTCTTCCTCTTCGCCGACTGGGTATACCTCGTTTGTCACTCGCAGTGGGGCGAGATCCGAAACTGGAGTGTAGCCTTGAAGGTCATTGATACCTCCTTTTATGTTGAATTTGAGTATCTTTGGATGAGTGTATTCCATGGCAAGGTGCTCGCTAGATGGTATTAGCTCTCATTGTAACAGATCTGCCAGTAGGTAAATCAAGCATGAGGTGGATAACTTACTAGGTACATTCCCGTTCGATACCCTAGATTTCTTTGGGGAAACAGTGCTCCAATTCCACTGCACCTTCGAAGATAGCGCCGGTGAGGGACTTCACAGTGATTATATCTCCCTTGGTACGCTTGGTCTTCAGCTGCTCTCGGAGCTCTCGGAGCGCCTCTTTGGTGAAGAATGGCTTGCCGGATTTACAACATTGGACGATAAGGTCTATTGCCTCTTTCGTCATCAGCAGATAATCGGGATTTACCAAGTCGGTCGAAGTCTTCGTCAACCCTGTATCCGACTGGGGTTTCCAACCCGACTGGTGTTTCCAACCCAGGCCACGAGCTCACTACAGTCGTGATGATAATGGTTGAACTAAGTCTTGAAGAGGTCGGAATCTGGTTAATAGTCAATAATCTTCTGAGGATCTAGTCCCATCTTTATACACTTCGGGGGCACATTGTTCAGAAACCCCATGCCGTTAACATCTAGCAGTAGTAGTACATCACATCCTTTATCACATCTGCGTGGCAAGTTTGTGTCCACTCGGTCAGCAGTCCATACCCAACTGTTTCAGTTACTGCTGTTCCCGGTGTTGGTTGGATGATAACTTACGAGATATGACTTGGTAACAAATGGGCGGATGGAAGAAAGCGCGTAGACTGAGCACCTACAAGAAAACAGAAGTAAGACATGACTCGAAGTTACCAATCATCTGAATATCCCCCGTGGTAGCCTGGCAGACAACACACTTGGTACTAGAAGTATTAGAGAACCGTGAGACTCAGGAGTCGTGTACCCATCATGCGCCACGCGCCCACGGGTATAGTACAAGAGATATAGAAAACTGTGATGCTGAAGGAATCCGCGGATGTGAATGGAGAACGTGGGAAGGAGCGACCTCGATGAGTTGGCAAGAGCCATCTGTTGCTCTCTTGCCTCGCATTAATCGAAGCCATATATAGATCCATGGATGGCGATTCACGCAAGGTCAACAGGAACGAACCGGCAACTGGTTGACATGCATTGGACTGTGGAGCTCAATGGGCCTTTTCAATTGTTGGACCACGCACTGGAGTGTCATTGAATGAGGTCGTCTATGACGAATATGAAACTTAGCAAGGCATGAGGTCGTGAAGCATGAGTACCTATAGAAACTAGTGACCACCTACTATTTATAGGTCCCTAAGGATACGAACCCTGAAGTAACAGGCTAACAAGGCAGGGCAGAAACAGGGCTGTCGAGATGTGGTGGTGAATCCAGGTCAACCAACTCACGACGGTATATTATATCGGAAAGAGGAACTCCCTAGAGGCTAGTAATCTCGAGGCCTTGCGTACCCATTGTGCCCCGGTCCGCTTACACAATGTACGAGGACAAGAGAACCACCTGGGCAGATCCGAATGAAATCCGCTTTCATATGATATGGCTCTAAAAGATAAATATCGAGAGGCAAAAAAGAACTAACCCAAAAAGAAACCATGTAACGCCGCCGCAGCCATGCAAGGTATCATCGCAAAGCACATTTTGTCCAAATTCTAGACCAGCCAGAACCTGATCCCTTGGGAGGTAAATACATGAGAGAGTTGTAAGAGACGAATCGAAGATCAACGAGGACCGAATATCTGTAGCCGGACCTAGAGGTGCCCGTGTAACTTGAATCGGTAGATGCAGGTGTGGTCGGCACCCCAATTTGAAGTCACTCGGAAGACAACCTTGTCCACACGGATGGTTGACACGTCGACGATGGTGTTGAGCTTGAATACCTGCGCGTAGTCCGGGTTGTGGAGGTCGTATTCGACTTTCCCGATGCGATAGAAATTGGGGCCGAGAATTGGGTCGTCTGAGTAAGCGCTTGGAGGCTCGAATGGGTTGCTCCGACGCAACAGATCCATCACCAACCCGTGAAGTGTACCGATTCCAGGGATTAGGAATCCTCCAAGTCCTGTTTCGCGGGATGAAGGGGCCTGCGTTGACGGTGGTTCTTGTGATACTGTCGCATCCCCGAAGAGTTTCATGAAGCCGGCCCGGCCAGGTCTAGCCTCAGGTGTTGGTTTGGCTTTGACTGGTGTTTTGTGGGGGTTCACTTTGAAGCGAGCCCACACTTCGATTGTTCGAGGGGCCGCCTCTGGCTCGAGAGAAGCGCCCACGGGAATGTGCTCAACTATGAACTCTTCTGCCACAATGTCGCGGCCGAGAAGTACAGATAGTTGAGTTGTTCCATTGCGAGGGGCACTGCACCAGCAGTCGCCTACCTCTTCCCACGTGGTAAGGGCAGACATGGGAGACTGCGGTGCTCGAATGGCACGCCTGGACACAAACGAACTCGCCCAGAGGAGCGCTCGGAGAGAAGCGCTCTGTTTGGGACCCAAAGTCGGTGAAGTTTTCGCCGGGTCAATCATTGCCCCCAATGCCACCGAAAGGAAATTTACCTTATAGCCCGGTTTCCGATGGAGGCTTGCGTCTGTGGGCATCGAATCGTGAATGTTGGAAAGCGACTGTTCTGATCTAACAGAACTTATCTCACTCGACAAGGATGACAGCTGAGCGTCGATTTTTGATACCTGGCTCCGAAGGCTATGGAAAACTTCCGGCTTAGATATGGTTATGTTCGAAGAAGAATCCCAATCCAGAGCACCATGATCTGGATAATCGCGAAGCTTTGTGGCGATCAGGGGCACGAAAATAAAGCTCAGAAACAAAAGCAAATAGAACGCAGCCCGAATCCAGTTTTGGTACGGGCCCTCCATTACTGCTCCGAACGTCTGCATCCTGCTTTTTCGGCGTACCCCGCTGGGGACTTCACTGCGGCTCTGTGGCTCCCGATGTCGGGGCCGCACTGCTCCTAACCATCGACGCAAAAAGCTTTCCTTGGGAACATCGGGCTGGTAATCGTGATATATTGCCGATTCAAACTTGACATCTTCTTCTTCATCATCCTCCTCGAGAACATTAGCCAAGCCAGAAATTCGTCGAGGGGGCGCTGTGATATTGCGTCCATGTTTGCTTGGTCGCGTTCTTTGAAGGTCATCTTCGTTAATGTCACGTTCCAGATTCCATGACGCCACAGAGGCATTATCAACAGAGCTGTGGCGGAATGGCGAGCTGCTACCCAGAGGACTATGGATGCGAGGAGATCCCATCCGTTGAAGCGGCGATGGATAAAGCGGAGAGTTTGACAAGTGACGCTGCAATGGGGGATGAGCGTCCGGACTAGAGTCCGTAGATACCGAATGTGGAATAGGAGGGGAAGGGGTTTTGTCGGAGTGTCCGTCTGCTGCATTATGCAGCGACTGCTGAAGCTGTGTTTGGTCGGGTGTTGGCTCACGCTTTCCCTGGTGTTCTTGGGGGCCTTGTTTCCTCTTTGTGGCGGCTGTTCGCCTCCGAGAAGCCTCAAGACGGGCATCGACTGCCCCAGCCATCTGATCAATCCCAATGTTGGGCCGCATCGACATGCGCTGAGGTAATCCTGTCGTAGTAGCAGCGCCATAGTTGAAGGATGCTTGGACTGGAACACTGGGCAAAACAGGCCCTTGCACACGGTCGAGTATGGCCTCAAATTCGGGCTCCTGATGTGGTCGTTGAGGAGTCGCGCCAGCCCGACGTGTAGCACGTCTGGGCGGCATCTGTACTTTTAACCTCTAGAATTGATTCCAAAGATAATACCTTGTTCTTGTTTTGTGTCTAGTTGAGATATCAGCTTTGGACTGGAAGGTTAAAGCAAAACAACCCAGACAATGGGACATGGTCAATGTAATCGGTTGAGACCTTGGAGACACCAAACAATTGAAACAGAACATCCACACATTCATGTATCAAGACATAATGCGACTGAACTGGGAATGGTGCCACGAGAATAGAACATGTGCAAGTATAGCGGGCCAGGGCCAATGCCACAAGTATTGAGTAGGAAAAAAGAGAGCGACAATAATTTCAGACTTACCACAGAACAGATTAAAAATGCAGACTCCGAAAGGCCGTGTGTAGATAGATGTCCGCCTGTGGATCGCGACGCTGGAGAGACGCGCAGACGCGACGGAACGTGACTTGCACCTACCAGCACCCACCTGGGCAGCTTCCGATGGTGATGTAGCTGAGAGGTCGAGGGGTTGTTCTCGCTTTGTTCTAAGAAGAGCGACAATTTATGTCTGAATTGCCAGGAATCCGGGCGAGAACTCAGGAGGTTGAAGTGAGAAAAAGTAGATGGGGAAAAAGGGTGGCGTGAAGATCACTGAAGAATCTCAACTCTCGACTTTTTGAGCTGTTATGTACATCGGACTCTGGAATTTCATGTTCTTTATGTTTCTGCAGTCTTCAAAGACTGTATAGTCTCACTTCCATAGTCTTTGTTGTTAGGTCTCTTTGTCAACAATTCCGCCTCGGACTGCCACGATCTTGCTATTTTTGTTTCAGTCTTACCCTGAGTGAAGGACTTTGTTCATGTATACAGAATAACCAACGTGGTCCTGCTCCTGATTCGTCCGGTCGCTACTAAGACGTAGATTGAATACTATACAACGGTCGCAAAAAGGCTGAGGTGAAAGCAAGATGTGAACCCCCCCCCCCCCCCCCCCCC